TTAATAATTTTAATTAATTTATTTAATTTATGCACTAATTATACAATTAACTATTTAATTAATTTACTTAAGTATTAAAAATTTAAATTATATTAATTAAGTTAATCAATAATAACTTAGAGGCGTCTAGGGTTTGCCTTTCATCTTCTCTTTTCGTCGTTGCTGTTCGGCTCAGTTGCTTTCGCAGGAGGTGTAGAGATTGCAGGCGTCGCTTCTTCGGCTTCTTCGTGGCTGTTCGACTTCGCTCCTGCGACGACTTCAATCCGGATCGGAAGTTACGGCATTTTGATCGGAAGCAAGAACGGGAGCTCACTGGCTGAGGTAACTTTCTCCCTTTCGCGCGCTTCTTCGGATAAATCCCGCTCGGATTTACTAAATCCGGCTACCCCTAGGATTTATTAAATCCCGGATTTAAGCTGTAAATCCGTAAATCCGGGATTTACTGAATCCCGGGATTTAACGCGAGCACAAAAACTGTTTGGCTGGATTTAGCGTAAATCCGACTGTAGCAGCTGCAATTGCTCTATATTCGGCCTATGTTGAGGATCTAGCAACTGTATGCTGTTTCTTAACACTCCATGAGATAAGAGTAGATCCTAAGAAGGAACAGTAGCCTGAGGTGGACTTTCTGGCGAGCGGGTCACTTGCCCAACCTGCATCTAACATGGATGAAAGTTGAAGCTAACCGGAAAGTATAGGAATACCATAATGTAATGGCCCTTTAATATAACATTACAACCTTTTTAGATGATGAAAGTGTGATGGTTGTGGATTGTGCATATGCTGGCAAAGGACATTGACCGAGTAGGCAATATCTGATCTAGTGATTGTAAGATATTGAAGGGATCCAGTGAGCTGTTTGTAGATGAGAGGATTATTGAGAATATGATCGGAGAACGTGGGGATAGGTTTAGTAGAGGTGGGATTTGAGATTGGTTTACAACAGGTTAAACCCGCCTGGTGAAGGATGGAGTTGGCATATTGGGCTAACGAAAGAAAGTATGTGTTGGAGTGTGTTTGAATGTTAAGGCCTAGAAAGTTGTGAGCAGTCCAAGGTATTTCATTGTGAATTTATGACTGAGCTGATCGAGGAGCTGAGATATTGCAGGAGAATTGTTGCCACTGACGAGGATATCGTCAACGTATATGAGAAGATAGATTTGAATGTTATTTTGAGTGAGGAAGAGGAGAGAGTGATCAAATTGACTTTCTTGAAATCCTAGAGAGATTAGATAGGTAAAAAATGTGTGGAACCATTGTCAGGGAGCTTGCTTAAGGCCATAGATGGCTTTTTGCAATAGACAAACATGATTTGGATAAAGATTGTCCTCAAAACCTTTGGGTTGAGACATGTAGACTTTCATGGAGGTCGCCATGAAGAAAAGCATTGGCTACATTCATTTGATGAACCTACCATGAGTGATGTAGGGCTACTGTAAGTAAGACTTGGATAGTTGGCATTTTTGCAACATGGCTAAAAGTGTTGTGATAATCAAGGCCATGTTCTTGACGATGGCCTTGGGCTACTAGTCTTGCTTTATAGCGTGCAATAGTGCCATTTGAATGATGCTTGGTGCGTTAAGTCCAGCAGCATCCGAGAATATTGGCATTGGGAGGAGGAACGACAAGTTTCCAAGTTCCTTGTTGTTGTAAGGCAAGGAATTCAATGGCCATTGCTTCCCGCCAATGAGAATTCAATGTCCATTGCTTCTCGCCAATGAGGGGATTTAACAGCCTCAAGATAGGTAGTTGGATCAGAACTTGAGATAGGAACAAGTCAAGAATCTGCCGTGGTTTGAGGGAGCTCGTTTGAAGTCGAGTGACCATGGGATGACGAGGTTAAGCTGTTTGAATTGATGTAGCAGAAGGTGGTTCAGGGGACGGTGGAGTAGGTAATTGTGGAGGAGAGAAATTAGGAGAGGGTGGGCTGGAGGGAAAGGAAGTAGTAGGATTTTTATTAGTGGATGGGGAGGAGAGGGTTGAGATTGGTATAAGGATAGAGGAGTTGGGAGGTTATGTTTGTTGAGGTGTTATGGGTGCTGTTGCAGTGGGGTGAATGGAAATAGGTCTTCAGCAAATGTAACATGCTTTGAAATAATGATTTTGTTGGTGGACAAGTTAAGGAATTTGTAGCCTTTTTAGGAATCGTAGTAGCCAAGGAATAGACATAGGGGAGCACGTGGAGCTAACTTATGGCGTTGAGAGGGGGCCAGCCAGGGATATCAAGCACATCCGAAGGTCTTGAGGTGTGAGTAATCTGGCTTTTGATTGTAGAAGAGTTGGATGGGTGATTTATATTGTAAAGTAGCTGATGACATTCTGTTAATAAGATGTACAGCCGTGAGAGCTGCATCAGGCCAAAAGTAATAAGGGAGATTGGCTGTGTGGAGCAAGGTCTGAATTGTCTCAATGGCATGCCTGTTTTTGTGCTCAGCTGTCCCATTTTGTTCCGGGGTGTAGGGACATGAAATTTGGTGATGTATTCTACAATGCTGTAGGAATAATTGAAGTTCTGAGTTTATGAATTCAGTGTCCCCATCGGTTCTTATGCGTTTAAGTTTGTATGAGATTTAATTTTCAATGCAAGTCTTAAATTGAGTGATGATTTTAGTGGTTTCAGATTTAGCACGCATCATAAACAACCATGTAAAGTGAGAATAGTCATCAATTATAATAAGATAGTATTTATAGCCTTGAAAGGAAAGAGTTGGGGAGGGACCCCATACATCGAGATGAAGTAGTTCTAGTGGAGAGGAGGTAGAAGTTTGAGAAACAGAAAAAGCTAATTTATGGCTTTTAGAAGCCTTACAGACTGAACAAACATGAACAGAGGTTCGGATATGTAGTTCACGGTTGTGTGAGGAGATAACAGTTAGGACTTGACTGTGTGGATGTCCCAGGCGATTGTGCCACCGAAGCGAAGAAGAGGAAGCAGCTGATAGCGCAGAAAGGGAATTGACAGCAGGTGGAAGCTTAATGGTGTACAAACCATTGCGACATGGCCCTATAGAAGGATTTCCCAAGTCTTCAGGTCCTTGATAGAGAAGCCGGAGGGAGAGAAAACAATGGATACATTGTTATCATTAGTGAGATTAGAAACATATAGTAGATTGTGAGAGAGATTGGGAACATGATATATTTTAGATAGTGAGAGCTTACGGTGTGGAGTTGGTAGGAGTCCAGGACCAGAATTTGCAATTTGAAGTGTTTGTCCGTTGCCAACAGTGATGCTATCCACACCATGATACAAATTTGGCTGCGGTATGTTGTCTAGCGAGTGAGTTAAATGCGCAGAAGCTTTGGAGTCGATGTACCAATCCTGAGAAGTCTATGAAGCATCCACTACCAGAGCCTTGGATGAAGTTGTCGGAGTTGGAGGAGTATAATTGGGGTTCAGTCGATGCCAGCATTGCATTGCCGTGTGACCCCTTTTGGTGCAGATTTGGAAAATGATCGGAGGAGAAGAATATGCTCGTCCAGGTGTGTTGGGGTTGTAGTTGAACCTTCCTCTGCCACGACGTCCACGTTCTCAAGAAGCATATAGTGCATTGTTTGGATCAGCTGAAGGATGATCTCAGGATGATTCTGCAGCCAAGTTGATCTCCTCAGTGAGAAGGTAGGAATAGAGCTCATCTAGATTGAGTGGTGCTCGTTTGGTGCGAATCACTGTCTTGAAGGCTTGATATGTGGGTGGTAGTCCGTTCAGCGTGTACAGAATGATATCTTCTGAATCGACATTTGATCCAGCTGCCGCAATGTTGTCGACTAAGGTTTTGATTGCTGTAAGATACTGAGCCATGGAGAGATTGCGCATTGAGATGTTGTGTAATTCATTCTTTAGCTAAATAACTCTGGATCTGTTGGATGCTTGAAGACGCTGTTCTAATGTGTATGAGATGTCGGAGCATTTTTCCGGGTGCAGAACATAAGGGATGATGGAGGGAGATATAGTTGAGCATAATGCTGCTGCTAGATTTTGATCTATGAGAAGCCATTGAGTGTATGAAGGATTTATTGTTGTGCTACCATCTGGCTGTTGAAGCAGACGCTGTGGGCGAGTTGCAGATCTTTCAAGATGGCTGTCGAAGCCATTGACTCTCAGTAGTTTGAAGATGTGAAATCTCCATACCGGATAGTTATCGTTGGATAAAGAAGAAGGTACTATAGTTTTGATGTTGGAGAGAACCAACTTAAGGGAGGATGGAATAGACGGTGGATCGGAGGATGTCGCCGTCGTTTGATCCGCCGTTTGCGAGGTGGATGACTGAGCCATTGTTTGAGCAACTGAGATTGACGGTTCTAAGCCCTGCTCTGATACCATGTAGAAATGCAACAACATGTATCCTAATAGCAAAACAAAGTTATAGCAGTAAACTAAAAGCAAGATAGAAATCAGCAAAGGAATTCATTCATTCTCAATCCTTGCTACAGTGAGTGGAATATATATAGAGCATGTGTATACACGTGAGCGTGTTACACAGTTTGTTATGCCATGTGAAGTTTGTTATGGCAGGGAATATTCTGATGTTAGTGGAATGTTATGCTAATAGCTGTAAATCCGATACGAAACAGCCCCTTAACAGTTCCCTAAATCCTGTTTGGCACTATTCGGCAGAAATCCTGTATCCAAACAGCCCCTTAAAAGGGTATTTATCGGGGATTTTGTGAGCTATGCGTCTTTACAGGTTATTATGTTGTATAATAGATTTTATGGGTATTGTATTGCTATAACCCTGATTAAGGGAAATTTGAGTGTGCATATAATGAATGAAACTAGCTTGGTGGTTGCTCATTCTCTTCCTCAATTTCCTGGAGTTGCAGGCATCCTCAAATTGCATAAATCTTCTTTCCCACAATTACCTGGAGTTTTTGTCAATGAATATTCAATGAATCTTTTTTTTGGAAACATGACCATAGCAAATGATTACTCAAAGCACCCATATGTCATTTGGATATACATCATGATTTGAAAATTTTGGACCATGAATATTTAATGAATGTTTCTTGTTTATAGGCCATTTGGATAATGTTGCTTATTGATTAGGATTTTCCATTTATGAATGTTTTTGGTTTAGTGTCTGCCTTGATATACAAGGGTCATGAGGGAGCCTCATACCACATTGGAGAAACTTTTTTGTTTTTTCAATTGATTTTTAATAATTTTTTCAATGCTAGAGAGAGAGAGATCCTTAAAAATTATTGTATTAACCTTCATATTATGGAAGGATACATTCTCCAGACTTCAAAAAAAGAAAAGCCCAATTAAAATGCACGGTTAAATGAATTTTTCCCCCCATTTCTGTCTAACATGTTCTCTCGACATTAGTTTATTGTTTTTTCTTTTAAAAGAAAAGTGTTTAATGTGTTTGTTTTGGTTTTGCAGGTTTTCAGTACTTATTGGCTATCCATCATGGCTACTCGTAAGTTTCTATAATGCCATGAATGCTCTCTATTTTGTTTCTGTCCTCCTTCCTTTTGATAAATGGTGATACCTTATTCTTTCACTTTAGGTTATTTATATTGGAGGCCTATATATGATAACCTGAAATAAGCTTGTTTGTGGTAAAAAGGAACGGGATCTGATTTGCCCCATTTATCCGTTGTATTTACTGTACCAGCCATTGTTCCTAAACCAAGTAAACATAGCGAGCATGTTGTAGATTCTTATGAATAAAAGTCGATTGATTTTCAAAATAAAGTCATATAAGCTTGTTTGTGGTAAAAAGGAACGGGATCTGATTTGCCCCATTTATCCGTTGTATTTACTGTACCAGCCATTGTTCCTAAACCAAGTAAACATAGCGAGCATGTTGTAGATTCTTATGAATAAAAGTCGATTGAATTTTCAAAATAAGGCATGCTACCATTTTGAGATGGAAGTACACCTATCCTTGTCATATATAGCATGAAAAGAATTGTTTCACTTGCATGATATTAGAGCTGTCAATGGACATACATTGAAATTTAATGGGTGGATATCAATATGAACATGAGTATGAAGTGGACTTAAAAAATCAATAAACTAGAAACATGTCCTACTAAAAAATATATATGGTTTCATGGGGGTTGCAAAAAGGGCTAATTTGGGGATTGGACAAAATTTATTGTTGAAACCCTATGGGTTTAGTTGACTTGGATATGGAAATTTTGTTCTTATTCTGAAAGAATTTGGTAGTTCAGGCATGAAGATAGTTACTGCTCTCTTAGAAACAAGTTAAATTTCCAAGCGACCTATAAAAATGTGCTCTTGTGAATTCTTCTTGATTTCGCTGAACTTAATTTAGCTAGGTTTTTGTGTGAATATATATACCTTTGATTTTAGAGGAAATATAGGCTTGTATAGTTTCTAATTAATGCATATTTGATGAACAACAGGACTTCAGTTTGAGAACTGTTGCGATATTGGAGTGTTCTCCAAGCTTACAAATGCCTATTGCTTGGTTGCTATTGGAGGATCAGAGAACTTCTACAGGTTACTTCCTCGAGGATTTGGTGGTCCATGCTTCTATTTCTATATACTTCACTCCATTTCCCACCCTCTTGTTTTTTTGCTTTTTGTGTTAGGCGGTTGCTGATTTTATATCTGACTTGCAGTGTGTTCGAATCTGAGCTTGCCGATGTAATTCCAGTGGTGAAAACCTCGATTGCTGGCACTAGAATTATTGGGCGGATGTGTGCTGGTAAGTAATGACAAGTTCCGTCAATTTTAGACCTCTACAAATGCCTGTATATGTTGCTCATTCCATATTTCTTACAGGAAATAAAAATGGGCTTCTTGTGCCTCACAGTACCACTGACCAAGGTAAAATTTTATTTATAGTCAATAAACTGTGGCCATATTAGCATTAGTATCTACTTTGTTGATATCTTCATTTTTTATCATAAGATGATTATTACTTCACCTGCGCTGCTTCTTTTGGTATGTTATCTGTGTCAGGACAGTTGTAGAACATTTTTTTTGCCAATATAATGTGATCAAACCGTTCTTAAGTGCTTACTATGAAACCTTGGCAAACTGGGCAAAGAAATATTTGTTAGAAGTTTGCTTACATTAGCGCACCATAAAAGAAATATAATATTATATTTTTCATTCCTTGTTCACATAATTCCTTTTGTTGCGTGGACAAGTATTCTTCACTACACATTGCTCTATAAGGCAAAATATAATTAGCATGGCTTAGAATATCTAGTACCCTGTGGTACTTAGTAGTTCCAACATTTGAAACACACACTGTTATCTGACTGTTGGTTGCATATTTGTCTGGATATAAATTTAACAGAGCTTCAACATCTGAGGAATAGTCTACCAGACCAAGTGATTGTTCAACGAATTGAAGAGAAACTGTCAGCCTTAGGAAACTGCATAGCCTGCAATGACCATGTTGCTCTCACTCATCCTGACCTTGATCGGGTAAATTGTCTTGACTTCTTTTATTCTGAGCTCCTATATCCAAATATGGTTACGGAAAATTTTGACATGTGGATTACATTTATTTACTTGATTTCAGGAAACTGAAGATCTTATTGCTGATATTCTGGGAGTTGAAGTGTTCAGGCAGACAGTAGCTGGTAATATTCTTGTTGGTAGCTACTGTACTTTCTCTAACAAAGGTGGCCTGGTAAGCTCCCAAATTCTACTGATTATTCTGTTCTGAAAGTGAAAGTGAGTCTTACTATCTTTTGCCTTGTAAGGTTCATCCTCATACATCCATTGAGGACCTCGACGAGCTTTCAACGCTTCTTCAAGTACCTCTTGTGGCAGGAACAGTGAACAGAGGCAGTGAGGTTATTGCCGCTGGTATGACTGTCAATGACTGGACTGCTTTCTGTGGTTTAGACACCACAGCTACTGAGCTCTCAGTTATTGAGAGTGTTTTTAAACTAAGAGAAGCTCAGCCTAATATGATTGTTGATGAGATGAGGAAATCCCTGATCGACAGTTATGTCTAAAACTCCATGGTGAGTAAGTTTTACATTACTGTTGAAATTTAAGATTTATCAAGCAATTATTTTTTTTGAAAGATTGCACTTTGGTGAGCTCTGTTTGTCTATTTAACTGATGGCACTGTGCACATAGAATGAAACAATGTAATTCAATATTTTGTTAGATTATTTTCAGTGCAAACGTCTAAATATTGTGTTATTGTGCGAGAAAAGATTTTAGTTTTCAACCATCAATGAATACTTGCATCTTGATGATATATATACATGGCTGAGCATGAATTTTTATTGGGAAATGCCCAAAAGGAAGTCTGATCTATTCCAAATCAAAACCAAAATGGCCAAAACAAATTTTGGCGATAGATGAAGGTCTTCTTCAATTGGAACCTTGTAGCTTCTATAAATTGCTTCTGCAAATTGTAGCAGATTTAGGGTTTGATTGGGTCAGTATTTTCACTGTTTTATTTGTTGCACGGTTATCACTGTTTCTATGGGCTATGACATTCTTGTTATTTAAAAAAAAGTTCTTGTGAAAAGTAATTTTTTACAATTAAATATGCCACTATCGATGGAGAAATTATGAATAAAAATCGATTGATTTTCAAAAAAAGTCATGCTACCATTTTGAGATGGAAGTACACCTATCCTTGTCATATATAGCATGAAAAGAATTGTTTCACTTGCATGATATTAGAGCTGTCAATGGACATACATTGAAATTTAATGGGTGGATATCAATATGAACATGAATATGAAGTGGACTTAAAAAATCAATAAACTAGAAACATGTCCTACTAATATATATATATATATATATATATATATATATATGGTTTCATGGGGTTTGCAAAAAGGGCTAATTTGGGGATTGGACAAAATTTAAAGTTGAAACCCTATGGGTTCGTTGACTTGGATATGGAAATTTTGTTCTTATTCTGAAAGAATTTGGTAGCTCAGGCATGAAGATAGTTACTGCTCTCTTAGAAACAAGTTAAATTTCCAAGCGACCTATATAAATGTGCTCTTGTGAATTCTTTTTGATTTCGCTAAACTTAATTTAGCTTGGTTTTAGAAATATATAGGCTTGTATCGTTTCTAATTAATGCATATTTGATCAACATCAGGACTTCAGTTTGAAAACTGTTGCGATATTGGAGTGTTCTCCAAGCTTACAAATGCCTATTGTTTGGTTGCTATTGGAGGATCAGAGAACTTCTACAGGTTACTTCCTCGAGGATTTGGTGGTCTATGCTTCTATTTCTATATACTTCACTCCATTTCCCACCCTCTTATTTTTTTGCTTTTTGTGTTAGGCGGTTGCTGATTTTATAACTGACTTGCAGTGTGTTCGAATCTGAACTTGCCGATGTAATTCCAGTGGTGAAAACCTCGATTGCAGGCACTAGAATTATTGGGCGGATGTGTGCTGGTAAGTAATGACAAGTTCCGTCAATTTTAGGCCTCTACAAATGCCTGTATATGTTGCTCATTCCATATTTTTTACAGGAAATAAAAATGGGCTTCTTGTGCCTCACAGTACCACTGACCAAGGTAAAATTTTCTTTATAGTCAATAAATTGTGGCCATATTAGCTTTAGTATCTACTTTGTTGATATCTTCATTTTTGTTCATAAGATGATTATTACTTCGCCTGCGCTGCTTCTTGTGGTATGTGATCTGTGTCAGGACAGTTGGAGAACATTTTTTTTTGCCAATATAATGTGATCAAACCGTTCTTAAGCGCTTACTATGAAACCTTGGCAAACTTGGCAAAGAAAGATTTGTTAGAAATATAATATTATATTTTTATTCCTTGTTCACATCATTCGTTTTGTTGTGTGGACAAGTATTTTTCACTACACATTGCTCTATAAGGCAAAATATAATTAGCATGGCTTAGAATATTTGAATCACACATTGTTATCTGACTATTGTTTGCATATTTGTCTGGATATAATTTTAACAGAGCTTCAACATCTGAGGAATAGTCTACCAGACCAAGTGATTGTTCAACGAATTGAAGAGAAACTATCAGCCTTAGGCAACTGCATAGCTTGCAATGACCATGTTGCTCTCACTCATCCTGACCTTGATCGGGTAAATTGTCTTGACTTCATTTATTCTGAGCTCCTATATCCAAATATGGTTAAGGAAAATTTTGACATGTGGATTACAATTATTTACTTGATTTCAGGAAACTGAAGATCTTATTGCTGATATTCTGGGAGTTGAAGTGTTCAGGCAGACAGTAGCTGGTAATATTCTTGTTGGTAGCTACTGTACTTTCTCTAACAAAGGTGGCCTGGTAAGCTCCCAAATTCTACTGATTATTCTGTTCTGAAAGTGAAACGGAGTCTTACTATCTTTTGCCTTGTAAGGTTCATCCTCATACATCCATTGAGGACCTCGACGAGCTTTCAACGCTTCTTCAAGTACCTCTTGTGGCAGGAACAGTGAACAGAGGCAGTGAGGTTATTGCCGCTGGTATGACTGTCAATGACTGGACTGCTTTCTGTGGTTTAGACACCACAGCTACTGAGCTCTCAGTTATTGAGAGTGTTTTTAAACTAAGAGAAGCTCAGCCTAATATGATTGTTGATGAGATGAGGAAATCCCTGATCGACAGTTATGTCTAAAACTCCATGGCGAGTAAGTTTTTATAACTGTTGGAATTTAAGATTTATCAAGCAATTATTTTTTTTGAAAGATTGCACTTTGGCGAGCTCTGTTTGTCTATTTAACTGATGGCACTGTGCACATAGAATGAAACAATGTAATTCAATGTATTGTTAGATTATTTTCAGTGCAAACGTCTAAATATTGTGTTATTGTGCGAGAAAAGATTTTAGTTTTCAACCATCAATGAATACTTTCATCTTGATGATATATAAACATGGCTGCGCATGAATTTTTATTGGGAAATGCCGAAAAGGAAGTCTGATCTATTCCAAATCAAACCAAAATGGCCAAAACAAATTTTGGCGATAGATGAAGGTCTTCTTCAATTGGAACCTTGTAGCTTCTATAAATTGCTTCTGCAAATTGTAGCAGATTTAGGGTTTGATTGGGTCAGTATTTTCACTGTTTTATTTGTTGGACGGTTATCACTGTTTCTATGGGCTATGACATTCATGTTATTTAAAAAAAAGTTCTTGTGAAAAGTAATTTTTTACAATTAAATATGCCACTATCGATGGAGAAATTATTATGTGCGGACACCGGACGGTCCGGATATCAACTAGAACTCTCCACGTCATCCGGTACAGAGCGGTACCCAGCAAAAAAGTGACGTGGTTCGTTCTGATTGGTCTCCGGATGCTGTCCGGTGTCCACACAAAATACTTTTTCCTATGTGTCTATGATAGTAGTTAGAGAGTTCAACTTGTTAAACTGTAAAAATTTTAATACCCATACAAAATTTTATTGTCTCACAACAGTTTTATAGCTACTTTTACAAATAAATTGAATGTATCAGAGGCTGTCAGTCTTTCAAAACTATTGTTGTGATTGATAGCTTATGCACTGTGGTGTTTGTATATAGCAATTTAAGCAAAATCCCAGCCAAGAATAGCTTAGTTTCTTGCAAATAGCTAGTCCTTTCATTGCAATAAAATGAAATATTGCCTTTTGCACCCTACTTGGAGTTAATTTTAACTACATATAGTGCTGTTTTTTGAAACTAGACTAAGGATTTGTTTGGGATAATTTTTTTATTGTTTTGTTTTTTAAGATCACAATTACAGTTCTATTTTATTATTGCTTTTTTGTTTTTAAGAATTTTTTTGCTAGAAAGTTTTTTATAATAGTCTTAAAAAAGAAAATTTCTCCATAGCAGTTTTACAATTATCTTGATAAAAAATTGAAGCAATCCCAAATAGATCCTAAGACAAGGCCAATTGATCAAAATAGAGAAGTATAACAAGGAATTCGGATTCTCTCCAATTTCAAAGCTAATTGCAGAGTGCAGGTAAATTATCTTGATCATTCAAACTGGATTTTAGATGTCTCCATGAGAGAGAGATAAATAAAACTGTTTTTGATGGCCGTACAATATTATCTCCATCATTTTTTAGCAATAATGATTTCATACAGATGTGGAAATGCCATTTTAAAGAACTTTTGAGGTGCCTGATTTTTTTTGTTATTTTAATCATTTTGTTGGCTTATCTCTTCAGTTATTCTCTCTTTTATTTATTTTTGATTTTGTTTGAGACATTTTTTTTATAGTTTTCTAAAGTAGTTTTTAAGTACTAAAAAATTGTTTTAAAAAACCGATAAGAAAGTTGTCCCAAAAGAAACCTTAGAGATTTGGGGTTTTTTTTTTTTTGTAGAATTTTGATGCATTTGATTTTTTATGATCCCATATATTATATATTAAAAAGATTAAAAGAGAGAAAATGAGAAAGTGACAGGCCAGGAGCACATCCTGCTTCAAGAAAGTGTATTGGTATGATTCTCCTTGAGAGAATCTCCTATTGAAAGGGTGATAGTTGATGTATTGGAGAGTTTTTTTAGGCGTCAAAGTATATTCTGCTCTGAATTGTGGAATGTTCATTTAGTGCTCTTCATATTCTTCATTTTTTTACTTTTTACAAAACGTTTATTCAATCATTTATTTCATTGCTGGGCAGAAATTTTTTTTTTATTGGGGTTTAATCGGGGCATAGCCCATTTTATTAAGAAAATTTAAAGGATACAAAGGATAGACTTACAGAACCTAAAAAAGGAAAAACAGAATACAAACGATTTTAACCGATCTAGAATGGAACAAAAAACAAAAAACAACCCACCCAGACAATAACAAACCAACTAAGAGAGACAAATCGGAGCTAACAAAGAAAAACTGCTCCAGCCAAAAACAGATAGGACAACCAAACAGACAATTTTTTAGTCAAACTGGAATTTCTCAATTAACTAGTTGAAGTGTTTCCAGCTACTAGTCTTGACACGGATAGCAATCTTTATAATGCTGGTGATATTATCCAGAGAATTCCTTTTGTTAGCATATTTGTGATTATTTCTATTGCTAATGACATGAAAGGTAAAATCACAATAAAAAAAAAGATGGTTATGATCTTACGGGGCTTTGTTGCAAAGGCAGCATTCTGGATTGAACTGGTTGCTGGGCATAATTTTTAACTACATTAAACAAACGGTTTCTCAAAATTGAACTGATTAAACCAGGCCAGGAAGATCAATTCAGCAAAATCATTCTTACTAAATAAATGAAATCCCTAAGGTTTATTTCAGTTTATATGCTGTCCAATTCACAAATATTATTATGGTTCCTTCGAGCTTAAATAAGTTGTCTTGGTTTATGTTGCTTGAAACCAATTCCGTATATATAAAAATTTGCAATTATTTGGATTTTTTCATGGCTTATGTCATAAAATATGCAATCCAAATTTAAATGTAAAAATTGAGATAAAATATGACATCCGTTACGAATCGCATGGAAAGTGTTTGTATGAATGCCTGTTAAGAATTGGTACAAGCGTTTATCAAATATGCCACGTCTTCCACCGCATGCTATGATATATGGTTTGACACCATCATCATGGCCATTGTTATCCTGCTTTTTGGTTTGTCTATTCGAAGATATTTATGTCGTAAATTTTGCGCTAGTTTTTTTTTTTCATGGAGATATTAACACCAAGAAACTTCCTCTGATCTCTTAAAACGAAACTTGCAAAAGACAGTGGCTTAGGCTTTCCTTCTCTAAATGTTATAAATCATGCTTATAGTTGCTTCTTCGTACAATGGTTTTTTCCTGGTGCTGCTTTCCTTGCCATGTTGTGTAACTGCAAATAGAGCTGACCTCATTAAAAGTTTGTAATCGCTGGAACAATTTGATGAATGTTGTTGCTGATTTTCAATGTGAGCAATGCAAACAAATCATCCCTGATCTGTGATCCTTGTTGCAATGGAAGGAATTTGTCTGAGCTTATTGATCTCAATTCTCTGCCAGCAAACTTAAATATTAACATTCTTCTTTCCTCCATAACCAAATCTGGTTAATGGCGCTTCCCAACATGATTTCTCATGATTTTAAAATTTTATTCATGTGCATCATGTATACATGTATTTATACTAGTATGTTAAAAAATTTAAAAGAGAGAAAATAAGAAAGTGATAGGGGAGCACATTCTACTTCAAGAAAGTGTATTGGCATGATTCTCCTTGAGGCTCTTTTAATCTCTATGGGCATTTGATCTGCTTGTGACTTATTCATTTGCTTTAGTCTTTTTTGTCACACTCAAAGGGTAACAAAAGACTTTAGTTTTGTTTGAGACGATTTTTTTTATTGCTTTTTAAAGCAGTTTTTTATATAAAAATTTAAATTTTGTACTAAAAAGCTGCTTTAAGAAGCTGTAAGAAAGCTGCTCCAAATGAAACTTTCGACTCTATATTACCCTGCTTGTCCATTGATCATCAATTGTAAAAATCAATGACAGTTAACAGGTAAAGAATTAAAACTCTCTATCACTCAACATTTATGGCCAAGTCATTTGATTACTTTCTAACCAACATTTTCAGATTTGTTAAAAATTTTTTAGCGAATTTTTCTCTTTTTCCTTAGTCTATCGGGTTAGGCTGTGGTTGATAATTTATGAGATTAGTTTAAAAAAAAAAAAAAAAAATCAAAATTTAAGCAAGCCTATAAATGCATAGACCCCCAGGAGAGTGGAAAATTATTATGTCCGGCATCCGGATTCGCCTTCGGACAAATCCGGACGTACCATGCCATCCAAATCTCGGTGCATTCGGGTGGGTCTGGGTGATGTGGCACGTCCGAATTCGCCTCTGGACGGTTCGGACGCCGAACGTAATAATTCGCCCAAGAGAGCAAGATGATATAAAATGATTTATTTTTTTGAAAGTCTTCAATGGTTTTCATCATCACATGAAGCCTAAGAGTGCAAGATAAAAAATAAAGATATATTTATCCAAAAGTCCTCTTGGAGAGAATAAAGATGGGTGAAATGCTTTTCATTTGAAAGATTTGGGACCTTATGTAAGATTCAAAATCTTTATGGGAAATCTATTGCTTGTAAGATTTCTCACTTAAAATTCCTCAAAATGGAGTTTAAAATTAGTTAAGGCACTGATTAAAAAAAATCCATCTTCATTAAGGTTTTATTTGTGATGGCTTTCTTATTGCTTCTTAAAGCAGTTTTCTAGTACAAAAATTCAGCTTTAATAAGTAGAAAGAAAGCCGTCCCAAACGAAGCCTAAGGGTTAGCTTGGGACAATTTTCTTATTGGTTTGCTTTTCAAACCGCAATCATAGTTTATATTTGACTACTATTTTTTCATTATTTTTTTTTTGTTAAGATTATTTTTTAATGATTTAACATATTATCAACATTAATATATTATGTCATTTAAAATGTAGCATAACATGCATGTTGGTGCATTAACTTCAAATATATTATAATTTTTTCATGTGTAACATACGCCATTGAATGACAAGTCAACTTCATGATGTCTTCGCATTAATCCGTATAAATTGTTGGTGGGATCAGCGTATTATTTATAAATGAATTAAAATGTATCATTTGAATAGATTATGACAGCTTTTGACCGTTAGATCATAAGATTACAAATTGATTCATATTTTTTTGCTCAATTTAGATGAATTGTTAACGATTTGATCAACATGATAACTCAATTTAAAATGTGAATTATCATCATCATTATTGTTGATTATAAAGATTTGCAACATGGCATGTAAGCTTCAACACATGATGGCAATTATGAGTTAGATTTACACTAACTTAACAAATATGAACTACTTATTTTATGAGAAAAACATCAAAATAGTCTCCAACTATATTAAAGAATCATTTTGATTCCTTAATTTCTTTAAAGATAAACCAAAATAGTCCTGCCATGGGACTATTTTGATTCATTTTTAAAGATTTAAAGGACCAAAATGATATTTTAATATAGCAGGTGTTCATTTTGATTCTTTTTAAAGAGTCAAAAAATCATTTTGATCATTTCTGTTTATTTTATGAATAATTTCAGTCATCATGTTAATTTAATATTGGATACTTACATTATACAACTTTCTCTCTCTTTTTCTGTCTGTCTAAATATATTTTAATGTGTTATATTTAAAATCTAGTTTGTTGAAGCAATCTATGTTAATTTGTTTTGTTTGATGTGGTCAATGCTCTTCTAATTTTGTTATTATAAGTTATTTTTTTAAAACCATAATTTATATTATGTTTTCTTGAAAATGGTTTTTTCAAAGTTAATTTTTGAAAAAATAAAACATTTTAAAAAAATCCATTTTGGAGATTATGTTTTATTTTTATTTTTATATTAATGAATGTTGGATAGAAATTATTTTTTACAATCATAATTTTTATTATGATTTTTTCAAGTAGCATATCAAAGCAAAATTTTGAAAAAAATGTCATCCAAATGGTTATGAATTGTAAACTAATATAAACTTTACTATTGGATTTTATAAAATGTATGAATTTACATTTTTTACATGTAAATTATTAATTATAAATTACAATTAAAGAGTCAATATCCTGTCCTTACCTTAGCCACAAACATTTTACTCATGGAAAAATAAAAAATTGTAGTTAAATCTAAATCTATAGATTTGAACATAAATAATTATTTAATTTTTTTTTACTATTTTGCTAAATTTATGATAAATTCTTCAAAAAAAAAAAAAAAGTTGTAATTTTCTTATCTAATTCATAATCACAAAAAGATTTAAGAACACATAATATATTTGTAATCTCTTTGGAATTTTGAATCAAACAACAAAATTCTTTCTTCTTTGTGGGCGATGATGTTATGGGTTATAATGATTGTCTATTTATGATATAGAAATAAATATGTGAATATACATTTTATTGAATCTATGCAAATTAAGAAATAATTTTGGAGCATTTGTTGAGATGATAGACCTATATTTAAAATTTAGAAATAAATAATTAATAATGAAAAAGATAAATTATATAAATATCTATAAATTCAGGATTTCGTCAAACTTTAGGTATGAATTAAGACCTGCGTCGCGTTCCATGGTTCATTTCGCGGGTCCTACTAATTCCCCACCCACCACGTGGCCTTACCCAATCGAGACACGCCATGTCATCTTGTCCACGCGCGGCTTTTCCCGCTGAAAGCCACCGCTAAAGCCCGAACCTATCCAAACGCCTCGCATGAACTTTATAATCTATTGCCACGTGTACGGCCAATAACTCCCCGGCTTCTGTTATGACGGCGCGACGTTTAAGGGTATTCTCGTAAATACATCAAAAAGCATAAAAGCAGCCCATAGTTTTTAATAAATAATATATTTATTTTCACTTTTCCGCATCTTTTTCGATGTTCAAACTCTTCCTTTTTCAATTGCTGACGTCACCCCGTAATCCACCGCCAAGAGAACTAGTGGCTAGAAATCGCCCTCGATGCTGACTAGGATGCCAGCGGGCAATCCCAGGCTTGACCGGCGTTAGCCAGTCACCCTTCCTTTTCTTCATGGAATGCCAGTTGGCTTTTCAGTTTTATTCTATTACTAAAATTATTTTTTAAATATTAAATGATAAATTTTAAAATATGTTTTGCTCACATTAAATAAATAAATTTAAGGAATTTTTATTTTTTTAAATTATTTATTCATTAAGTTAATATGCTTTATTGAGAGCATCTCCAACCGAACGCCAAACGTGCGTATGGCTTCGTTTGGTCGCTCCAGCCGAACGTCAAATCTTTCACCATTTACTTGCGGGTGAACAGTGCGACGCTAATATTGGTGTTGCACTGTTCACCTACGCTATTTCGCTCTCTCAACCGGAAAAATGCACGAAAGGGAGAATGATTGTTACCTTCGTAAAAGTACTTAAAATGTAGTTCTATTGGAGCAGCACCACAACATTTTTGAGTTTTGCTGTATTTTGCCGTGAAAAATGGAGTTCTCCATTGGAGATGCCCTCATGATTAGTAAATTTCCTTAAAATTATATTTAGAATTAATATATAATAAAATGGATTTTAATATAAGAATTTGTAAAAATATTTTTATTAAGATAACCCGTACGGAGTGCTATTTTTTAAAAAATAGCCGCAATTTCAACATTTTTTGCTGTTTTAAATGTAAAATTCTGCGCTTTTCCTTCAGCTGGCGTTTGTAAATCGCTTTGCGACTTTCCGGTCTGCTTTTGGAGTGCTAATCCGAACTCGATTGAGGGGCTCGAGGTTGAAGACAAAGTTAGGGCGGGTGAGAATGTCTGAGGGGAGAGATCCGGCGATCAAGCTGTTTGGGAGGAAGATCCCGTTACAGGAGGGGCAGACACGGATGGATGAAGGGGATGTAGCCGATTCGGGTTCGGCGGCAGAGCCACCGCCGCCGCCGTTGGAGGAGAAGGTGAGGATTCAATTTAGTATAGATCCTCTTTTTTTTTGCTTTCTAGATGCTTTAGGTTTTCTGTTTTGAAATAGAGCGGATAAACAGTTGTGTTAATGGATGCGCCTTTCTGCTTTTGAGGTCACTGTTTGGTTTCAACATGGACTTGTTCTCTGCTATTTGTGATGGAATTTTGCGCTGTGTTGGTGTTAAGGTGTTGAATATTGCGGTTTTTATTTAATTTGATTGATTTTCAGGATTGTAAGAGGGGATTTGGTTTAGATAAAGGGTAGGTTGTATTTAAATGGTTTAGTTTTGGCAAGTCTGCTTGTATTGCTAGCTTATCAGTTCATTTGACAAGATTTATGGTTGTTTTATATTTTGTACTTGCAGATTGAAACATCTGGTTTTCTTTGTGTAAAGATTTGGTGGTAGGCTTTCATGTAACGTTTTGAGTTCTGAACTTTCAGTTGTTATTCAGATAAATTATACATCCTTTATTTAGTAATTCGTGTAAGTGCCTTTTTTTAAAGTAAAATTGATCTTATTGATATTACTTGTATGCTGTGACTTGAAGATTAAACACCAAAGTTTGGGGCTTTTCTGAATTCTAGGGCATGGATGTGCATGATTTAATAGAGTTTTATTTTTAGAGCTTTTTGGATGACTTAATAGAATTGTTTGCTTGTTATATTCAAGTGAGTATGCCCATAACAGGATTTAGAAAAGGAACGTGCTACTAAAATATAATATGGTCAACTTGTGTGATGGATCTGGCTATTTGAAGAAAGCGAACTTAGATTTGAAAAGATAGGGTTCCTAGGATCATCAAGGTTAAGAAAGTTGTAGTGAAGATATAATTTTGAAAAGATATATATCTGGAAGAATTTGTATGAACAAAGTATTGATGTAGAAGAATGGCTTAGGAGGTTGTGTACATCCCTTGAAGCACAATATTGGGGGTTTTAATTGTTAGGAATTAATGGACGGTGGTCTTCTTCGAATGCCCTGAATCCTTTTTGCTCAACACTAACTTAGTTGCTAGGTTTGACATGGATTTATCTAATTTTGGGCCTTTTCCCTTCTTATCATCAAAACTTATGCACTCAAACATATATTTTAATCAGGAATGAATCATTAAAGAAATTTTCATTTCATTTGATTTCTTTCAAGGATGTTGTAGAGATCTTTTGTATGAGGTTTTAAGCAATGAAGTTTCAGTTGTTATTCAGATAAATGACACATCCTTGAAGTGATTATCCATATAAGAACATTTTCTTGTTAATTTTGATCTCATTGAGGTACATGCAAGCTTTTGAATCGAAGATTAGACACAAACAATTCAAGCTTTTCTGAATTCAGTTGTAGAGATCTCACCGGTGCTGCGGCCCTTGCACACTTCTCACTGAATTCAGGCCATATAGCACGTCGCTTCCAGTAAACGCCTTAGCATTAATACAATATATTAAAGGATTCATATCACGATTATTCAACAAGTTTTATGCTGGCTGTTGACTACATCCATCATGCATTTTATGATCAAACTTTTATATATGTAAAATTTGCTAAGAAAATTTTATATTTTCTCAACACAATTCATTGTCTGGTGGGTCGTAGCATAAGATTGTACATGTGGGTATCATAGTTTCCACACCTTTGAATCTATGTTATCCTGGACATTCTAATACATGAACCACTACCACTTAAATGAACAAGTTTCGATAGAGGTGCATTATCTTAGACTCCTAGATAGCTTCGCTTTCTAACCTGTGTTTTCACTGTATACCTTTACGATAGGAATTTATTTATTATTTTGTTGCTTCACATTATAAGATAATAGTCATTTTTGTTTTTCTTTACAAATTAGATCAGGCTGTAGCTCAACTTCTGCCTCTGATATTTTGTTTACTACATCTGTATACACTTCTTTTATGATTATTGATTAGATATGAAATGCATGATGGAAATTAGTCATTTTCTCTGATAGTAATAATTTATTAGAACCATCCAACTCTAGCAATCATCTCAATTAGTCCAAGATATTTTGGATTCAACTTCCTTTCTTGGCCAATTCTGATAACACCCTTTTGTTAGATAATCGTCACAAACTTGCTCTCTTATTCGAAACTCAACTGTTTGGTGATTTAGATCATAATACTTACTTTGTATGTATTGCGCTGTCATCAAATTGTCTTTGATAAACTTGATAATCTCAATAACATCAGTAGTTAGCTCTGGACCCAATAAAGGTGATTTTCATGTTAGACAATACAAAGCTTAGTAAGGAGTCATATCAATACTTGACTATAAATTATTATAGAAAAATTCAATCAACGGTATGTGATCCTCTCTCAATTGCTTTCAGAAACATAAAGAAATTTGTAGTAATCTCTTGGTTTGTTTTAATAATCTTACAAGTTTCACAGGTAGACATCAACTCTACTGCATTCTTCTTCAATCTAAGGCACCAAAGTATAAGTTTCAAATGATGGTACATTTTATTGTTCCATGTGGTTTTGTGAGCCCTTGGTGTTTGATACTTGATGGGCTTTCATTTGAGGGGTAGAGATGACATATGTGGTCTCACATGTTGGGGAGATTGTTAAGGCACATAAGAGTATTTTGTTTAGTCTAATAATTATAAAATATGTTGCTGCAGAAATATCTAGTGGTTATCCTTTACACATTATCTCAAATTTTTGAGTCGAAAATGAATTTGTTTATTAATATATATCACACTCCTTGATATCTAATACTTTATAAATGATATGCAACACACTCATTAGATGATTGTTAATTTGTCTTGCTGAAAAGTTAATCGATTTCTTTTTGAACTTTAGGATACATGCAAAGAAAAAGCAAAAATTGAAGTCGCTAATAAGCTGGGTGCGCCAGGGGAGCTGGACCCAAAGAAGGCACTTGACTCCTCTGTTTTGAACAATTCTTCTGTAGTTGTCGAAGAATCTTCAACAGAGTCCGCAAAACCAGTTGAAGAAACACAGCCTGAACAGGATCACAAAGAGGCTGACATTGCAGGTCAAGATAAGCTTCTCAAGAAGCCAGACAAGCTTCTTCCATGTCCTCGCTGCAACAGTATGGACACCAAGTTCTGTTATTACAATAATTACAATGTCAACCAACCAAGACACTTCTGTAAGAACTGTCAAAGATATTGGACCGCAGGAGGATCAATGAGGAATGTTCCTGTGGGTGCTGGAAGGCGAAAAAACAAACACACTGGATCAGGCTACCGTCATACAGTGATTACACCTGATTCATTGCCATCAGTTCAAGTAGATGGTCCTGATCTAATTGATCCTAAACCCTTGTCGCCCTTCAAGGTTAATGGCACTATACTAAAGTTTGGACCAGAAGCTCCTCTCTGTGATTCCATGGCTTCCATACTAAACCTTGGAGAGCAGAACTTAGCTTCACAGCTGGACTTTACTACCGGTGCGGAGAACAGAGAGGAAACTTCATGCTCATCAGCCTGTAAGCCCAAAGAAAATGGTTTCCCTGAAAAAACACAACAAAATCCCATGAATTCATACTGTAATGGAATTACACCTTTGCCTCAAATACAATATTTCCCAGGGCCTCCTTGGGCAAGTCACTGGAATCCAGGATGGAACAATTTTGCTGCTGCCATGGCAGCAACTGGGTGCTCTCCTGAACTTCTTCCTGTTCAAGACAATGGCATTCTTTGGCATCAACCGGCATTGATTACTTCTTCTTTCTGTCCTCATCCTCCTCTTCCATTTCCATTCATATCTCCTTCATTTTGGGGTTGGACTGGAGGACCATGGAATCTACCATGGCTAGGAAGTAGTAATGGAGTATCACTGTCATCCTCCAAAAGCACCAGTTACTGTTCAGGAAATGGTTCTCCAACCTTAGGCAAGCATTCCAGGGAGGAGAAGACAGAGAAGTCCCTGTGGATTCCCAAGACCCTGAGAATCGACGACCCAGATGAAGCTGCAAAGAGCTCAATTTTCGCTACTCTCGGCATCAAACATGATGAAGTTAGTAAGTTCAAAGCTTTCTCATCCAGTAATGGAAATGGAAAGGGAGATTCTTCAAAGACCGCACTAGCATTGCATGCCAATCCAGCTGCACTGTCTCGATCTCGATCTTTTCAGGAGATTATATCATAAGCTGTTACTGCTTAGATCTGAAAATTATGTTCTGTAATTGTAGATAGAGCTATCTTCAGCTTCAGTAAGGAAGCTATTCTGAGTTGTTTTTGGACGATCAAAAGCTCCCATGGAATGGCTGAGACCTTTCTGCTGTTCTCTGCAATTTTGGATGTAGTTATGCTGTAAATTATGATAATAATGTTCCATAATTCTGTCTGATGCCATGGCTTGCAATAATAATGTTTTTTTTTTTTTGTTTTAAGGCATTCAAGATGTTGTTTTCCTGATTTATTATAAGGAACCAATTAAAATATAAATAGCAAGTTAAATTAGATTAAACTCAATATTTAAGTGAGAAATTGATCTAGAGTTATGGCGTTACTCCTAATCATCAAAATATATAATCAATCAGAATTATGGTATTGTGGATTGAGGATTCGATTAGGGAGAGATTATTCTGTGTGGAGACTGGATGCAGAATGTCGTTCGGAAATCAATCAGAATGCGTCATGTCAGTGATATTGAGCTGCCGTATCGAATGAAGGGTTGGCATGATGCATTCTGATTGATCTCCGGATTGTGGTCGGCTTTTCGTTTAGGACGGTTTTCTTATTATTTTTTTTAAATTAACTGTAATTTTCAATCTACCTGGATAGTTTAGGTAAAATTGCAAGATTTAAACTATTTGTTACTTGCGACGATTTTAATTGGGTAGTAATGCAATTGTAATTTGTTGGATTTTGGACCTTGCAATTTGTATTTAGGAAGGTTCTTAAATGCAAAAGAGGCCAAAAAGTTTTTGTTCCGTTGCCGGGACTTGAACGCGGGTCTCTCGGGTGAGAGCCGAGTATCCTAACCAACTAGACTACAACGGAGTTGTTAGCATGTTTAGTTAATATTATTTATATATTTAAATTTAGCATGCAAATAAAATTTTTAATTAGAATTTTAGCATCCCTTGGAAAAATGTGGCTTGTTTGTTTGAATTTTTTCCGTATTAAAATCAATAAAAATAATAATAAATTCAACTTCCACTCAAATTTTTTTTGTCTGATATGTTTCATCTACTCTAACATCCACTCAATTTTATTCACTCGGTTTAACAACAATTGATCCTACAATTACTAATATTTAATGAAGTCCATTTGAGTAAGCCAATATCAATGATTATTCTCAAGGTTTGTAAGATCGGATTGGATCAGCTGATTCAACCCTTTGAACAGTCAATCGGTCAGCCGGTTGGTTCGGATCGCGGCTCGTAAGAAACTGGCCAAAAATGGTCAAACCGATGGTTGGACCATAGAACCGGAGAACCGGTGTAGGTTTTTAAAAAACTATTAGTTATATTTTTAAACGAAAATTTTTTACTACATTTTAAAATCACAATTAGCTTTATTTCTTTAAATCTCATTAATTATCACTGTAATTAAATTATTTGATATTTATAAATATAATATAATTAAACTATATGTCTAATAATTTAATTATAGTGTATAATTGTATTCATCAATTAAATTTAATTAAATTATTTAATAATTTAATTATATCAAGAGATAATATGTGATTTAAAATAAAAAACACTGTGTAATATAAATATATAATTATATTAGAATAATTGAGAAAAAATTTTTTAGTTAGATTTTCATATTATTATGAATTGGAATTCTTAGAATTATGATGTTTTTAAGGTTAGGTTGTCATAGTATTATATTTTATTAGTCTTTAATAATATTATTATTTATTACATCATCCGGTTTGATTCCGATGGGTCGAATCATGAACCTCTTTTTCTTCTGGTTCGTTATCTGGTCCAGTTTTCAGTCTTCATTATTCTTTATATCACGTTCCATATTTTATTTCTATATTTAATGGCTTTTTATAAATTCAATTTTTAAAATTGCTCTATAATTTGGAACTAAATTTCACACTAAAAATATGAAAAATTTGAAACAGCTTTGATTTTGTCCTCTTTTAAGAAACCATTTTTTTAATTTTGAAACGACATTGTCCCCGATTGATATTTTTTTTGTGACATTCGAGCCAATTAAGACGAACTCATGCACATAACACATATGCAAGCTTCAAATCCAAGACCTCTTGGTTGATATCTAAAGCTCCCAACCAACCGATCAAGATGAGCTGCATCCAATGTGAATTTTTACCCCCCATTTTCTTGTTCATATTTCTCTTTTTCCCCTCATCCTCTCCTAACACCACTCTCTCAAGCAAATTTTTTTCTTTTCATTTTATTATAAGCTAATTAACTTCAAGGTACTGTTGTGAGTAGGAAAAATTATTACGTGCGGAGTCCGGATGACATCGAGACTCCAATCAAGCAAAAACACGTGGTCTTTTTTCTCTCTTATACACATTGTGTACAAGAGAAAAAAAATGCATGTCTTCACATGATTGGAGTCTGAACAAAAGGCTGCATCCGGACTCTGTACGTAATAATCTCTCTGAGTATATCTTGCTTCCTACTTTCATCAATCATTAATTTTTCTTTGAAGAAGTTTTGCAATATTAGCAAGCACAATTGTTGCTAGCTCAACCGGCGACAAATATGTTTTGATTTTTTTTTTAAATTCGGTTTATTTAAAAAAAAATAAATAATAAATTTGAAATTTTAGCCCACTAAAATCTAAATGCAAAATTTTCCAATACATCATGTATAATTCCATTATAGACCATATAATTGTCTTTAAGGAATAGCAAACGAAAAAAAAAAAAAATCATTTTTTTATATTTGTATTTTTAATTTAGGCAATATAATTAAATTATAGAATCTTTGTTTTATTTATGTTCGATTTTTTTTAATGAAAAAACCTTACGGAAATAGTCTACACGTTAAAATAGATGAAAAATACACGTCTTTAAAGACTCAAAAGCTCACTAAAATACAATAATTGAAATAAAACCTAAGAGCCTCAATATCCATATAAATACAAAACCAAGAAAAAACAAAAGGAAGGCCGGCTCAAACAGAAACCAACAAAGAAGGAGACAGAAGAAAACACAAAAAGCCTAGCAGTCAACCATAACATTTAGAGTAAAAGTGCCATCCAAATTCGAAGACCAACCCGCACAAAACTAAAGGAAAGAAACTACACCTAAAAGGAGAGATGAAAACCCCACCAACCATAAAAAAGAATTCTTCTAAAGCAATAGTCACCAAACCAAACACAAAAAAGTTAATTTTGGATTTCATGTTTCTTCGTTTACCCACCCGAACGATAGTACATCGCATACCACCATCCTGTTCAAACACTTCCTTTTCATCATCTTTAGAAGGAGAAGATGAAGAGCCTTCAAGCCAATCAATTCGCTCCTTAATATTTTCTCCAGATCTGACTCCCACATGAGTATACAAGACATTAGCAAAAAGTAAAGCAACTGGAACAGCAACAAGCTGTTCATTCACTCCCAATCCCATAGAGGAGACCAGCAAGCATCATAGGAGAAACAACAGAAGGATCAAACTCACTAGAATCAATGTTCATCACCCTCATATTAATAACACAAAGTTCATTATCACTCACACTCATCAATGTATTACCAAAAACATTTTGAGCCACATTAAATTCATTCGAAGAAGGGTCAACAACCACAACACCATGATACACATTACATTAATGCGAAGAAGGCTCAATTAACAGCCACTGCCCCGATCATGTCGGGGATCAACGATTCATTTCCAACTAAAGAGGATTCAATGTCAATATCAACAAGAGCGACAGAAGGAACAAACTCTCCCGACTGCAAGGGTAAAGCCTTCTCAGGGAAAACAACATCAACTATGGGGTTCTCACCCAAAGCAATAGGGACCGCAATAACAACATTTTTATCTCCCCCATCCAAATCAAAACCAACTACATTAGGCATAGAAATATTAGCTAAAGGAGGATTAACAACTTCAATAGTGATTGCCACTTTAACAGAAGGAGCAACACCCAAAATCGGATATAGGATTGGACAACAATTCTTAGAATGACCCAAAGATTTACAATGAAAGCAATACAGAAGAAATTCATCTATTTCAACCGATTGAGCATAACCACAAGTCTCCAACCCAAGCCAAACTTGAGAAGCGTAACATTCCGTAACATCTAATTCCACTAATATGCTTGCCACATTGGGTCTCGAGCAATTAACAGTCGCATATACGTTCTCAAAGTTCTACCAAATAGCGACCCCAAACCATGTAGAATCCATGGGGAGAAAAGATGAGGACACAGATAGAGAATAGAAACCCAAATAAGGACAATGTGAGATTCCACATTATATGTCAAAATATGGGGTCCATTTGAAAAGCTTCATGAAGCAGCTGCACATGAAATAGGAGCGATGAGAGAAAACCTACAATAATCTAAGTCATTGACAAACTTAATCAACACATTTTTAGAATTCAGTAAAGTAACCGAAAAATTCCCAACAAGCTTTAAATTAAAGAAAAATTTGTTAATTAAGTCAAGCGGCCAGCGACGGCCGGAAAATTTTCCGACTAAAGCAAACTCGAAAGTCAAAGCGAGATACCCCATTTCCTCATCAGAGATAAACAAAGCCGACAAACCATGATGAAAAGAAACTTTAAGCAGGGAAAAATCCGATGAAGCCGACTCACCTGATAAAACATCCCCAATGGCAGCGGCAGACGCAGGCGGAAGGCCCAACAACCATCGCCAAAAACAATGGGACCACTTGCGGCTTTGATTTGTGCCGGAGGTGCCAAGGTCAAGCGAATGGAGGTGTCGACGGAGGCGGACGCTGAACGCTATGCTCGACAGGGGAGGTAGAGACTGAAGAATGGGGACTTCCGCCTGGTCGTTCTTGCGAACAGAGAGATGCTACAGTACCTTATCGATTTATTTATGTTCGAATTTAATAAGGGAAAGGAAAAAAAAGGGTAGTCATGTAATATTAATATTTTGGTGTTAGATATGTAAATAGCATAAAATAAAGTGATATGCATGTAAACACCCCTCCCCCCCCCAAAAAAAAAAAAAGGACTTGTAAATTTCAAAATTATTAATAGGAAATACAAAATTAAAAGGATCGTTTTGAGTCCAATTGATCTAATTCAAGAAAATAATTTTGAACTCAGCTTTTGATCAAAACTATTAAGAAAACCTCAAATTGATTATTATTTTTAATCACAACTAATTAAATGAAAATAACAAATTTATTATTTAATTTTTTTTAATCTACATGCTATCAAAATATAAATACATTCCATGTAGCAAAAGTTGTTAAATCCCTCAAATAAATTTATTTTTATGGTAAAATCTTAAAATGAAGAATATCAAATGAGTACATAAAATTTTAGAAATAATAAAATCACAAAAAAAAAAAAAAAACATCTTTGAAGCTCTTCACATAAATTGTGTCAAAATGTAATATATTTCATTTGAAATAGCTTTATGCCTCTTCTCCCATGCCATAGTAATCCCTTAGGAACTTCTCACACATTGGTAAAGGCTCATCCTTGAGGAAGGCAAGAGAGTTGGCAAACCTAGCATTGTTGCTCATGCCGGTGTTTGTCGAGAGCACGACTTGCGCCCTATCTCTTCCATCATTGATCTTGTTGCAATTCTCCAATGGGCTCTCGACGAGCACAACCTCACAAATTTCCTCCTCGTGATCATCTGCCACCTCAATTTTGTAGTTGCCGGTGGAATCCGTCACACCATAGCTGGTGTGCTCGATATTTCCTGTTGCGAAGTGTGTGCACTCGACCTTAATCGTAGCCCCTATCATCATATAAAATTTAGATTCATGCATAATTGCTATATTTTTTTTTTCGAGTCGCATAGTTATATACGATTGAATTTACCTGTGATGTATTCGGTGATATTTGTTTCAAAGCCAGCATGACAATTGTCACAGTAAACACGCCCCACAACAGAGAAGACAGGGCTATTGGCTGAAGCCACCAAGGCGATGGAGGAGAAGAGGCAGAGGGCAACGATGAACACGATCTTCGCCATAACTTATTATTTTCGGATTCTTTTGCGTCTTCTCCTCTAATTTGAGAATGGACAAGTTTGATTGATTTTTATAGATTCAAGAAATGAAATTATCAACAACTTCTTACCATTGAATTTTTTATTTTTAGGAGAGAGAGAGAGAGAGAGAGAGAGAGAGAGAGAGAGAGAGAGAGAGAGAGAGAGAGATTTGAAAAATGGATGGATAGAAAGGCTTGCTTAACCGAGTTTATTGGGTTGTATCATTCTCGCTATATTTAGACATATTTAGTTTCTTGTTTCATTTAGAGTTGTATTTTAACAAAAAAAAAAAAGAGTTGCATCATAATATTCTCACTTGAATTTAATTTGAATGGATTTACAGCCATCAAAGCTGTTTTAAGATCAGTGCTAAGTAAATTCTTATTGATTAATTGTAAAATTAATCAGGATTAAATTTCCCAAAATTTCTCCTTAATCATGTATTCTAATTAAGAGCCCAACCGACCATTTATTCAGTTTATTTGAGGATAAGTACTGACTTTAAAATTCGTGCATACTTTATCATAGTTACATTATATTTATTCTAATTTCTCCGTATAATTATTTTATACTAAAAAATTGTCTTAAGAAGCATTAAGAAAATCATCTCAAATGAAGCCCGAAGTGATGGTTAAGGAGAATCATTTGAATATGACATTAGACTTTCTCGTTGATAACTGCCGACAAATAGACATAAACAGGGCCATGATTTATGAATATATAAAGCAAGCTAAGTTCTCATGCATGGTATAGACTTCAGCCCATTATCTTGGTACTGTAGTTCTGTGAAATTGCTTGCAGGTTATCATGTGTTCTCTCTTTTGCAACAAGTAGGCGTAGCATTCTATATTTATTATGGATGTCAATATTTGACTTGATTCGGACCTGTTCTGAAAAATTTTGGATCAGGTAAACCTGTTTGTCATACAGGTCGGGTTTGGGTTCAACAAGCTAACTGGTTTCAAAAATCAGGTTGGGTTTGGGTTATTGATGCCGAAACTCGAAAGCGACTCGGATCCGACCTCCAGCTCTGCGCTTGCGACATATCTTTGCCTCTACCGCGCTCGCGACCATGCAGACCATTAGCAGAGCTCGCCCTCCTGCAGCCCTGCCATCCCACGCTTGAGCCCACACTCATACTCGCTTGACTCCCGCCGTTCCGCTCACTTGCGTAGGACGTTGGCCACGCTCAAGACGCTGGACTCGCTCGCCCTCTCGCCGTATTGCTCTCACATGATGTGTTTGCACCCGAACTGTGCCCTCACCAAGTGGTCCAAGCCTGCTCCTCCGCTCCCGCACCCTAGCTCGCTCACCCGCCAGTCGCGACCGCGCTCGTGTGTTCTCACTCGACCATAAAAATTTAGGTTAGCGGGTTGGGTTGGGTCAACCCGGTAACCTAGTGGCCCGGGTCCGGGTTTGAAGTTTCGACTCGTTTACAGAACAAAGTCGGGTTTGGTCAACCTGTTTGAACCTGGGTTAATTCTGGGTTCAACCCGAACCCGACCCGCATGCCCGTTTTGTAATATTTACAACCAGATTAACTTAGCGTAAAATACTTGCTATGAGAAAATTAGCAATGAACTCTGTTATAAATTAAGCAGTCGAAAATTAATGGTCTTGATGATATTTGAGAAGATTTATCCTACCACATGCTGGGAAGTAAAATCATGCAAATAAACAAACAAGAAAGGAAAACAATAGAAAAGAAAACGAGGATTTAACATGAAAAATTTTGATACAAAGAAAAAACTACTATACTACACGTCTACACCACACCAAGAAATCCACTATGAAAAATTAGAAGAAATTGTACATATCTCATCTCTCCCATTCTCCACTTATCTATCTTCATTTACATACAGAAATAATAAAAAAAAAGATGCTTTTCAATACAACAAAGGGTAAAACCATTGAAGTTAAACAAGAAAAAATAAAAAGAAGAAGAAAAATTGCTCAACCTAGCTCATAGCACCATGGCATCAGGCAGGGGCGGAACCGACCTTAATTTTCAGGGGGGGCAAACTTATAAGTGAAGATATATATATAATGAGAATTAATCTTAAACAAAATTAGGTTGAAATATGGATGATTTGTTTGCAAAAAAAAAAAATCAAAATGGTGTAATTGATTAATCATTCAATTTCTACAAAATGTATGTTGGAGTTGCCTTGAATTTGGCTCGATCTCTATTTATTCATATCTTTGATATTTGTACGCTTTTCAGATATGTCGGGGGTCCAAAGGGCTAGCACCCCGTGATGGGGTTCGACCTGCCCGGTCAGGTCGAGGGGTCAAGGGGCAGCGCATCTGCCGGAGCTGCCCCCGGAACAAATTTTGTTTGTAAGGATATTTTTGGATTCTCTTTAATATTCATCTTTGTATTTGACAATTGCCTAAAGACCATAGTATTTTAAAATGTTTATAGGGGCAATTGCCTAAAAACCCTTATAATAACATCTGCACATTTACCAGAGTTATCTAAAACCTTCAAGTAAACAGTCTATCAAACATCTATGAAATTTAAAACATCAATATACAATGACATTAAGCCAAATAAATCAATGTAGGTCCAACAAGGTCTTAAACTTAATAATAATAATAATAATAATATAATAGTAATAATAATAATAATAATAAAACACTCTTTCTTTTCTTCATAAGGAAAGAGAATACAGTTTGTATTTATTTACTGCTTATATATAACAGAAATATAAAGATAGAGATATGTACAATAAATTTCAAGCAGAGGAATCATTTGAAAGGCAAATTATTAGGTCCGGTCACTTGACAGAGAGATACATTCGGATTTCTCTTTGTCTACAGTAAAAGCACAGTAAAAGCGCAGCTGCTATAGTAACTGCGCTTTTACTGTAGACAGAGAGAAATCCGAATTTATCTCTCTGTGAAGTGACCAGATGCAATAATTCACCCATTTGAAGAGGACTTTGGACTTTTGTTAATTTTAACAGCTTATAAAAGTACATAAACAAGCCCATGATTCATGAATATGACTGGTTTCATTTTCATTATAAGTAAAAAAACTTAACTAAAAACAAGCCTATTTCTCATTTATGATACAGACTTCAAATGATTAACTCGAAAATTATCAAAATGGTCACTTGACTTTTTATGAAGGACTAAAATGATCATCAACTATATTAAATGATCATTTTAATCCCAAAAATCCTTAAAAAAGAACTAAAATAGTCACACGGTGGAACTATTTTGATTCTTCTAAAAGAGTTGAAAGACCAAAAAGATCATTAATATAGTTGGAGACAATTTTAAATTTTCATGAAAAATCAAAGGTCCATTTTAATCGTTTTCTCATTTATCAACTTATCTTCAACTCAAATAATTTTATATTGGTCATATAAAATATTTGATTGAAATTATATTATGTAATATAAAATAAAATCATTGTCATTCTCTTTGTTTAAATAATATAACATATGCTATTTATATTATTAAATTTGTGCCAGATTCAAGATTTTTATTATTTGTTTGAAAAAAATAAAATAGTGATATAGTAGATTTTTAAAAAATAATTTAGAGATATAAAAAATGAATTCTAATATATTTGAAGAAATTATATGAATGATTCTAAATTAACATATTATAAGTGCTATTGATTAGAGTTAAATTTTGAGTAGAATTAAAATAACTTAGCATTCCATCATAGATTGAAAGCAATTTAAGTGTTGCTTGGGATAGCTTTTGATCACTGTTTTTCTATTGCTTTCAAGAAAAATTTGTACTAAAAAGTTGCCGATGAAAGCAGTAAGAAAATTAGGCAATGAAATTTAATGTTAACATAATTACCTCCTCTAATTCTGATCAAATGATTGCAACAAAACATAGAGAGCTTCATTAGAGCTGAAGAGGGAGTTCACATCGTTGTTAACAAAATTCATGCAGTGAAAGAACTCTAAGATAGAGATTGAAGGCCTCACCATCCATAAGAAAAAAAAAACTTATTAGAAATCTTAGAGGAAATTCCCTATAAAAGTTTCAATAAGAAACATTTATCATCACATTAAGATTTATATTCTTTTGTGAACATAAATCTCAATATAAAAATGATTGACAATAATTATTACTTAACATATTTTTTTATATGAAATTCCATAAGATTTCTATCCCCAAAGCTTCTCCTCTGACAAAACTGACTACCTAAGTTGCTCCAACACCTAAGAAATCAATGAAAGGTAAGCTCATCTTCTCCCTTTCATGGCTGACCACTGTTCCTGCTGCTGAAGCTTCAGATTTTCCATCAGAGCCTAAAAGTTTTTTAATGAAAAATTCTAAGTTTAAAATCAAATTTAAATGATTTCTATGAAGAAAAATCTCGACAAGCTAGCTTACCAGTGAGAAATGAATTCTCAGGAAATTTGTCACAGTTGAAGAACAGAGAAAGATGAAACTTTCTTGAGCTGGTGCACTCGTTACTTGAATTACTATTATTATTATTATTTTTCTCCATTTTTAGTGAAGATTTGAAAGAGGAAGTTAAAGATTTTCTACGTTTATAAGCATTAGAAATCTCTCTCTGTCTTCTTGCCATTATCACATGCCAGTGATTCTTTACAGCATTGTCTGTTCTTCCTGGAAAAAGTCTGGAAATAAATGCCCATTTGTTGCCATGGAACTTATGAGCTGAAAGAAGCCTTTCTTCCTCCTCCTCAGTAAAGGCCTTTCTGTTTATTCTTGGATCCAACTGATTGAACCATCTCAATCTGCAGCTCTTGCCTGGAACAAGTTGAAAAGAATTTGTTAATATCATTAAGCATCATTTATCAATAATTCACTCAATTACATGAAACTAATAGACTATAGACATAATTAGGTTATGTTTGGGATGGCGTTCTTACTGTTTTTTGTACTAAAAATTTGATTTAAGAAACAGTAATAAAGTCCTCATTTTATATCCAAAAGATTAAATGTTTATGTAATGAATATTTGGTGATATTTTTAGGAAAAAAATTAGCTTAGGATCTGATTAATTATTTTATCATGATAGAGTCTCAAAGTTGTTAGATTTTTTTTAGATTCTTAGAATAAATTTAATGAATATTAATTTCTTACACTAATCTTAAAGTTAATCTAAAATTTTTAAAATCCATCTTGTCTTAAATTCTCTCCTGAAAGGGACTAATGATTCAAGAGAGTAAAAAACAACATTAATCTATAGAAATATTTCTCTTTATCAAGATTATGTTGAATTTAGTATCATATCATATATTTGAAATATTTATTAATGAAAAAATATTTCAAATAGAAGATGATGTATACCTGATCTTCCAACCAGCTTCTCTGCAATGAGATTCCAGTTCTGAGGGCCATACTGAGCAACAAGCTCCTTAAGCTTAACATCCTCGCCAGGTCTCCAATGGCCTCTTACACAGAGCTTGGAATTCACATTATGAAGCTCTCTAGTTTCCATCTCCTCACTAACAAGACTATCAAAGCCTCTGCTTTGCTGCTGCTCCTCTCACCTTCTAAGCATATCTAAGTAGAGAAGATTTGAAAGGAAAATAGGAGAGAGACTTAAGAATCCTCTCAGGTTTTACAAAAAAGGAAGGAGCTTTAAGCTTTGGTCATGAAACCTCGAATTCATGAAACTCCACAAACAAAGACAAAGTAAACAGTTCTGAGACAATGAGGCTTTGAACTTCGAGAAAGTTGCAGGTTTTAAGAAAGGGAGGAGGAGAACCGAAGAGGCAAAGGAGAGAGAAACAGTCTCGGTGAGAGCATAACAGGCACGGGTCTCTCTTTCTATCTCTCTGTCTTCTGCGTTTTCTCTGTCTCTTCTCTGTTTTCTCAGCGGGTTGTTTGGTTTAAAAGGGAACCGCCCGTGTGATTTTGGAGTTCGGTCTGCTCTTAATTTAAGTAAACATATATTAGTGCTGGTTTTGTCTCTTTCTGTCTTGACAAAAGCACCATGGCTTTCTATCTAGTTTTCATGAAAGGTTCTTCTAAATAAAATTGACAAAATTATGGATCAAATTCAATTGACATAACTCTAGAATAACTTAATAATGATTTATTAGGCAAGTCATTGATATGTAAAAAAAAAATTTCATGGTGGTATAGACAGAGCCTTTATGACTTCGGAGTTATCAACAATCGATAGTTTATTTCATCGTTCACCTCATAGAAGGGGGACTAGCAACACATATGTTGACATATGCCTTAATGCTAGCGGAAAGTGTTGGCATTAGTGGTGATGATTGGTGACGGTGGGTGTAGGCCTTGGTGGCGAAAACGTATGTTAGCTTGTGGGTGATGGCAAGTGTTAAACTTGATGATGGTGGGTGTTTAACTTATTGGCGATGACTATCATTAATATTATTGGTGACAACGGACATTAATATTAATGGTGATAGCGGGTATCTACTTTGGTAGTGATGAAAAACATCAATGTTGTTTGCAATGATAAACATCAATATTATTAGTGAAGACAAATGCTGGCCCTATTGGTGATGCTAAATATTGATGTTATTGGTGATGATGAGCTTCAACATTATTGATAATGATGAGTATTAACAATATTAATGACTATGAGCTTCATTATCATTAGCAATGACATATATCAATGTTGGTAGTACTGGAGAGCGCTGATGTTATTGATGACATTGGATGTTAGTTGTATATTCGCCCAGGCCTTCATAACTACTTAGGAGGTTGCTGACAAATCATAGTAACGAAACTTGCCTCCCACAGAGAGATTATTAGGTGCGGAGTGCGGATGAGGAGAACCGTCCGCCCAAGCCTTATTCCGCGCTAGGTACTGACACTCGGTACCGTTGGATACCGCTGGGTACCGTTAGGTACCCATGTTTGTGCAATTGTGCGGACGGTGCACACTCCGCACCTAATAATTTTTCCTCAAAGGGACCCACCTAAAGAACTCTCCTAACGATTTGAGAGAAACCATTTACCCTAGCTCCTAGGGAACTTTGCCTAGAGTGATCAATAGATGCTAGTCTCCCAGAACAACCAAGGAACTCTCCCTCTATGGAGGGATTTAGGGATTCCTCTCCAAGCTAGCAGCTGGACACTTGCCATGTAACTGAACAACAACCTCAGTAACTTGCTCCCCCTTAGAGTGATCTTGGGCGCTCACTCTCTCCTAGAGTAACTAAAAGCAGAACTCAATTACAATACTACAATAGATACAACCAATATGTAACCGACACTTGTACTGCACACACCACGTAGCTCTATAAGGTTGTATCATACAGATATACAATAATAAAGAAATCATGCAGAAGTATCTTCTTCTTCATCTTCTTCCTGTATACATTCTTGAGTGAATGCTTCTCAAGAACTTAACACCTATATGTTGTAGTATTGTAATTGAGTTATGCTTTTAGTGACCATCCTTACTAGTCTCAGTTACAAGAAAGAGCCAACTCTAGTACCCTTTATCTAACTTGCCACGGCCAACAAACTCTGAGCTCTCCATCCATATGACAACATCTCACTCGTCTTTTATCCTCAAGGCTATTCAGACTCTCTTACACAAGTCGCTGGCAATATCAATAAGTCAATCCCCTTATCTCAGCAGTTGCTTACATACTCCTCCATGTCTACTCGTCTACCCACCACCATCGAGCTCACTCAAAGACAACTCGTCATAATTCTTCAAAACTCACCTTCCTTCGACCAACCGAGGGTTGACACGTGCCGTAGGGTCATGTGTGGTATTATAGGGGTATCTTGTACAACATTGCATTTTTTCACTTTTATTTTTTTATAGTCTTTTCTATAACCCTCATAATCTTATAACTAAGAGGTGTTGCGAAACAATTTGAAACCAAAGCTAAATCTTTAATTGATTTTAGTGAATTCTTCCGAACGGAGTAGCTTTCAGTAAATTACTAATTAATCCTTCTAATATTCACGTTACCGAAAGTTAAATTTATTCTTAATTAATATAACGCTATTCAGACGGCTATAACTTTTTGTTAAAATAGTTGTAAAGTTATTATGAGAAAAATAACTCTTTTTTGAAAGCTGTTATAAAAAATAACTTCTTAGCACGAAATTTCTTGAAAGCAACAAGAAAATAATAGCTAAATAAATTAGTTGTTACGGTCTAAAGAGCAAAGTAATAAGAAAGTTATCCCAAACAAACTGGCTATAATAACAATTTTAAAAAATCAATATAAAGTTTTATATTTTATAAAATTTTTAAACAAAATTATGACTATAATTCGTATTTATTGTAGTAATTTTTATAGCAGATATATTTTTTTCTTTATTTTATTTGTTTTACACCCAATTTACAACAAATCAACTTGTTCCTATAGCGTTAAACTTTTTAGAAAAAAAAAAAGCCAGAAAATCCTAATATAATTTCTATTAGGAAAGACTTGAAAATTATTTTATTTGCTTTAAGATTAGTGTAATACAAAATTTTCATATCAACAGTAATATTTAAGTCCATGCTGATGTAAATTTTTATTTTTTAAAACTTAATTCCTTTTCTTAAGCATGATCCTTAGCAATTATTGGTTTCAAGAAAATTCAACTTATTATTAAAAAAATATTCCCTTTTTCTTTCATTAATAAATAATTAATCAAAAGAAAGGAGTTAATGACAAGAGATTAGGAACAAAAGCACTTTTCCTAACGCATTAATTTAGACCTAAACGGCTAAGTTTTTGGCATGCATTAGTTGTTAATGAATTGAGCCCCACAAAAGAGAAAATGAGCCTCATGGGATTGATCAAGAGACAAATTGGCAAGTTTGATGTACCTATTATAATTATTAGTCAATATCAAAAGGGATAGATGCAAATATTTTATTTATATGAAAAGCATATTTGAGTAATTATATAAATTATATAATTGCAAATAGTAAAGTAATTAGTGTGAGGAAATGTCCATTATGATTGAATGATGCTATTTGTTAAGCTTTAAATCCTACATATATGGGAGATGTTGTGATTTTTTTTTTTGCATAAGTGGGTGCATATATTAAAATCTTAATTAAAAAATGCTTAATTAAAATATTATTAAAATTTTAAGTTAAAATAGCATTTAAATCTTGACAATCATTATTCATAGAAAATAATTATATGGAGAACAAGAATTTTAACCTTTAATGCATCATTAATTAAAATATAAGGGTTTTTCTTCTAAATCGCTAGGCAAAATGAAGCTTTAATAACCAATGTAGATGCAAGGTATAATGAATCAAAATTGTGAAAATAATTTTGAAAATGAAAGTATGGAGAATATGGGCTGGAGCACTACGACGTTGGGCTACCAAGTGCAATGGCGTCGGGAAAGCATCGCTGTGGTACTAAGCTATTTGTTTGACAATGACTATGAGAGATGCATGCAGCGTCAGATTGGGAGCACTATGGTTTTGAGCACTAAAAAATATTTTTTAATAAAAATTCTCAACTCAGCCATTCCTCTATAAGGAAAGGAAGAGAGGAGGAGAGGAAGATGGGAGGAGGAGGAGAGAGAAGAGAGATTGTTCGGGTCATAATAGTATCTATAATTGCATGCATTTATATAAGAACATATGAATTGAATGATAAATAAATTAATTGATATGGAATTGATAGAACAAATATTAAAATTGATATAATATAGCATAACATGTGACATGAACACTGATAGATATTGATAACTATATTGATACAACATACTGATATGACACACTGATACATGACATATTGATAGAAGCCGATAATAGAATCATTGCCATGAATATTATTAATAGATAAGCGATGAATGTTTTTACTATACAACACTTGATATGATTTTATAGACTTTTATTGATTTTCTTCATATTCATATGCTTAGTGTGATGCTTATGGTCTACTAATCATATTGGTTCTTATAGTGATTTTATATATTATTTACTATATATGCTTATGATTATTGATTTTATGAAAATTGAGATGAGCGTGCATATTGATTCCCAAGATCTCGCATTAAAAGCATTGGTAGTTTTGGGTTTTGTTCGACTTTGCAACTCATTATATGGATTTTATTGATTTTAGGTCAAAAAAGGGGTTAGGATCCTGTAGAATGAGTATGATCAGTGTTTCTAGGTTTTATTTTATTTTGTATTTCTTTTATTCTTTTACAATCAAAAGCTTAAAGATAGATCAATGACTTTGCAAGCTCATGATGTGAATATTATTGATTTCAGGTCAAGAAATGGATCAGGATCCTGCACAATGAGCCCGATCAATGTTTCTAAGTTTTATTTTATTTTATATTTTGTTTTATTCTTTTGCAGTCAGAAGCTTAAAGATAGATCACTGTATTGAATGATCTCCTAGCTATTGTAAGTTGCATTTTGAAAGAGTAAATATAAAATTTTATTTTGATGTATATGATTTATATTGGATTTCGTTGGAATTATTAAATTAATAGATAATTAATAATCTGTTATAATTAAGAAGACATAAAATATACAATTCTTCCAATTTAAATTTTAGAGCGTCACACAAGATAGGAAGGCCCCTCTTGCATTTCATCAAGCAAGCCTCTATTAGATGCTGATTTGAAAAAAAAAAAAAAGTTAGGCAATTTTATTACTACAATTATTATTTATAATTATGATTTGATTGTTAGAAGTAAATTATTAGCTAATTATGAGTTGTTATTAGCTAAGCATTGGTTATAACTAACTAATTATGAGCTGATAAATCTCTATAAATTTATGCATGAATAAAGATCAAGCCTAATGAAAATAACACAACATATATTTTCTCAATTTTCTCTTTTATATCTTCCACCAAAACCTCCATTAAATTAACCTTAATTTTCAACAAAAGCATCTATCACCTCTATTACATTATATTAGAGATTTGGATTCCTTCCAAGACAAATTTGCATTGATGAAAGCCTTCAGAAATCAGAACTGCAGATTTCAGCTGAAAAAATTGCTAAACTTGGTTGAACTAAACTGTGATAAGATAGCAATCAACTTAAACAATAAATAAAATTTGCAAGAAGTTAACTTGTAATAATAATTAAAAAATTGTTCACTCTCACTCTTACAAACTAGTTTTCAACCTTGTCTGAGCATCCATGCATCACATCTTTTGCCTATAACAACAACAACAACAACATCAAGCCTTTATCCAACATCCACTACGTGGGTCGGCCACATCGTCATTGCCGTTGCCAGGTCTCAAGCCTTGGATGAGAGAGTGGAGGGTTGAGTTAGATCATCTCCAACCGTACTGCATACCACCGTTGCAGTCGGCCATTCGGTCCATTCGAACTTCAAATCTCATGCCAAAGTTCGGCTGGTGAACAACGCGATACCAAAATTGGGCTACGAGAAGCACGTGAAAGCGGAGAAAAGTGTGGTAAAGAGTAGAAAATTGTTACCATCGCAGGAAATGCGCGAAAAAAGAGAGAAAATGTTGTTTGATTGGAGATGAATTACTGCATTTTGGAGTGGAAAATGAGTTTTATAGTTGAAGATGCCCTTAGGTAGTCAACAACAAGCATAAACTTATCGATTAATCATGACATGAATCCTTTAATACATCTTTTACCTGAAAGAACAAAATTTATAATAAAAACAGATACTGAGAGACACTCTACAAGAAGTTAATTCATACAAAATATAAAATCATTACTGAAATTATTTTAACAGAACTTACTTTCAAACTAAGTCCTAATACTTTCAAAAACTTAATAACAATAAATTGGAACTAAGTGGGAATCATCTTCAATTATTAACATAATAATTTTATCTTTGATTTAAATTGAAGTAATTAAGAAGTCATACTTGGCCTGAAGCAAGCATGGCCCAAATGAAGAGAGAGAGCAGCTTCCTCAGTGTAAATTCTTGGCCAGAAGCAAGCATGGCCCAATTGAAGAGAGAGAGAGAAGCTTCCTCAGGTTATAAAATATTGAAATTACCATTGTTGCTTATTTTTTATTTTGTTGTTGCTACTCTTCTTTCTTTCAAAGTAATTTGGTTCTGTCTTTATATGTATAAGTCTACATGACATTAATGAGATTCTTCTGCTGCCAGAAATTAGGGAAGAAAAGCTTTGATTAGGTTTAGAGTTTCTTGATTTTGAGCAAAATTGGTTGATTTTTTGAAGCGAGATTGCGTTCTGTCAAAGTTGTCGAATTATTACGTCTGGTGACCGGACCGTCCGGACACCAATTCAGACGCGCCACATCACCCGGATACAATTGGCCCTGGGTGTATTTGGGTGACGTGACGCATCTGGATTGTTGTCCGGACGAATCCGGACACCGTACATAATAATTTTCCGTTAAAGCTAAGATTAGTTGGTCCTTAAACCCTAATATTATGGGAATTGTAGTAGAAGAAAAGCGAGAGGGGGAATATTGTTTTAGGAAAAATTTGGGATTAATAGAATTTTTTTTTTTTTGGGAAATTTGAGGGCATTTGGCCAATTTTGCTAGCTATATATCATAATTACAAAGAGGGGTGAAACCCTAGATTACAACTCTAATAGATGAAAATCAATTAAATAGGAGCTGAAAAAAAAAAAAACTAGTAATACTCAGGACTCACATAATACAAGATACATGTGAAAAAAATCCTAAAATAAATCTCTTAATAATAATAATTACTCAATAAACTAAATATTCAAATATAAATGAAGAGACACTAAAATAAATTTTCAGTCCAAACATACTATAAAATAATTCTTACTTATTTTCTATTGATCATCTCCTTCTACACTCTAAATTTTCTTGATCAAACATTTAATGAATTTATCTAAAATTTTAATTTAATAATTTAAGTTAAAAAAAAAAAACAAAACACAATAGTCAATTATAATTTATAATATAGCAACAAAAATCTCATGCATTTAAGTAGTTATGGCATAACATCATACTTCATTATATATTAGAAAAATATATTATAAATCTTTAATTAAATAATCCTTCTTTAGAATGTAATAAATACATAAATTAAATAATATAGTAGTATTATAATATAAAACATAATTATCCACTTTATTTTTTCTTGCATTGAAATCCATCCAAATTACTTGAGTTCTTAACAAATCTTTTTTAGAGTACCACCTAAAATCAAAGACATAATTTTACACCATTAGCTAAGAACTATATTTTATTTACTTCAAATTAAATCTTCATTTACATATTAAAATTTTAACTAAATTTTCCCAAGAACCTTTGCTTGGTTCCGATCGATGTTTCATCGCAATTTAATAGTCAAATACCTCCCCTACAAAAAATAACAATAATTTCATTAAATATTTTTAGAGTTAATCTCGAAGACATTGAATGTCGTCAAAGTAACATCGACTGCATCGGACATCATAAAAGACACATTGAATACATTGAACATCGCCAAAATAATAACATCAAAGGCCTTCAAATTATCAAGTCATTTTTATAATTATATTATCTATTATATTTTATGAAAATGATCGAAATGATGTATACATAGCTTATATTGTTTACCTCTAATTTTCTTCTTCCTTGTTGCGTCGAAATTGCACAAATCATTGCTAAATATTTTTAGAGTTAATCCCGAAGACGCCGAACATCATCAAAGTAACATTGAATGCATCAGACGTCATCAAAGACATCGTCGAATGCATCGATGTCCAAAAATACAACGTAAAAGGCCTTCAAATTATCAAGTCAATCTTTCTAATTACATTACCTATTATATTTTATAAAATAATCTAAATGATGTTTACATAGCTTATATTGCTTAACTCTAACTTCCTTTTTCCTCAATGCGTTGAAATTGTACAAATCGCCGAACATCGTCAAAGTAACATCGAATGCATCGGACATCTAACGTCGAATTGGTTGAACATCGCCAAAAAAAAAAAAAAAAAAAAAACCAAAGTTGAAGGCCTTCAAATTATCAAGTCATTTTTCTAACTACATTACCTATTATATTTTATGAAAATGATTGATAGAGTTCTTTTTACGAGTACACACTTTCAGATTTCCTTCACTTGCCAACAACATTTAAGTATTTGTAGCTTGAAGCTTGATTTAGGACCTAACATACTTTGCTTTCTTTACTGAACTTCAAGAACATTATCTCATTTACACTACTTGCAGTGTCATTTCTTCTTCTTTATATTGGTCTGCTTATCTGCTTTCCTTTCCAAAATCAAATCCACAAAAGAAAGATCGACTCTATGAGCTGTTATTGCTGCTTCTGCCACGCATGAAAGCATAGCCTTAGTAAGGTCTTACTGGAAGATAAGGTGGAGATGAGGTCTTCCAATGGAGTGAATTTCTTGGGCATAAAAGGTGAGCCTCAAGAGAAGCTTCAATACTTACCACCATTTCATGCTTAATATTCAATTTTTGTAACATATCATCCACTAGTCATCCTATCTATATCAAAGAAAACAATATTGAATAGGTTGGTAAACCAAGCTCAGTAGGTAAATTCTATTTATTAAGACATAAATGAAAAACATTGGTCATGCTAGGGGTGTCAAAATTGGGTTTCGGGTCGGATTCAGAACTGACCCGGGTTCAAACGGGTTGAAATTTCATACCCGGACCGGACCTGTCGGGTTAGCGGGTTGACCCGACCCGACACAATTTTGTAAACCCGGGCCGGTCAGACGACGGGTTCGCGTTGACAAAGGCTAGCGAGGTTAGTCGGGCGACACGTTACGCGACAGGCAGCACTGGCATATGCAAGCTGTGACTGGCAGTGCGGGGCAATGCGGGCAGTGATATCAAACCCGAGTTGATTTTGGGTTTCCAGGTCAACACGAAACTGACCCGTTTTTTCAAACTAGTCGAATTCGGGAACCTAAACCTGACCCATTTGCAAAACTAGTTGACCTTAACCTGAAATTTTTGGGTCGTGTCAAATATTGACACTCATAGGACATGCATGATACTTAAAAAAAAAAAAAAAAATCCATATAAATCATAACTGATATACCATTGCACTAAAGCATATCTAAAGTTTACCAATATTGACGTATTTGATAAAAGTTATTATAGAATATAGCTCAACTCTAATGTACTAGAAGTGGTATTTATGAAAGTGATTTCAATAATGAAGTGGAGGATATTCTCATTTCATGTTATCAAGCTCCTTTGGTTTTGAAATGATTGAAAAGAAAGGTTCTTCCTAAAAAATGATTTACTCACCAAGTTAAAATTTGCAAGAAACTTTGCTATGAACCTTCCCTAGAGGGGAGAGAGGTTTAGGCTTTACTAATAAACATAAATTCAAGAATGAAAAGGAAGCAAACCTATCTCATGCACCATGTGAAATGATAACAGACTCTTTTGAATGAAGACAATTTTTTTGATGTAAAAGCAAACGAAGAAAATCCTAAAGTAATAGATGCTCCTCCAGAGATCAATTTGAGGACCAAAGTTTATTCTTCTCTCACATTCATTAGCAAACTTCTTCCAAAGGATTTTTCTCAGGATATCATGCATTCAAGTTTTAAAAGACTATAAAGACAGTTTTGTTTGGAATTATGGCAAAATGCTAGGGTTAGCTCCAGAGATCATCGCATATAAATTCTCAATCAACCCAGATGCAACTCCTGTGAAATAAGCCCCAAGGAGGATGCACCCTGATATTGGAAAACTGGTCATTAAAGAGACCAAAAAGTTGGTCGAAGTTGGATTCATTAAGGAGTTACTCCATCCAACTTGATTAGCTAGTGTTGTCCTTGTCCGCAAGAAAATGTTGGGATGGAGAAGTAAACCACGCAACGAAGCAAACAAGAAAAAATAGAATGCAGTGGAAAGTAAAGTACACTAGGATTTAACGTGGAAAAACTCAAAATCTGGAAAAAAATCACTGAGCCACACCACACCAAGAAATCCACTATGAAAACTGGGAGAACAAATATCTCTTATATCTCACTCTCTTCTTGCTTTTATTCTCTCTTACACCGTTCTCACACCAAAAAAAAAAAGTCTAGTAAATAACACTAAGGGAAGCCACCCTTAAGAAAAACAAGAAAGAAAACTGTCAAGTCTGCCTCGAAGCGTTACGGCGCTGTAGCACCGAATTTAGAGGACTGCGACGCTAAGCTCTCTGTCGTTTCTCCCAACAAACTTTGCATCACCAGAGTGCTCGAAAACATAGCGCTGGGGCGCTTTGGTACACAGCTTCGAGGCACTCGAGTGCACAGCGCCGGGATATTATATGAAAAAAAAATTAAGGGGAGGACCCCTGCACTCCAAGCGAGCACGACAAATTGAACAGAGACTTGAGGTAACAGCACAACCCGATTGATCGACATAATCAAATTCCATACAGATTAATATAAAAATGAACAAGTTCTAATACATCTAGACTTTAGAGTCTTGAATAAGACATGTCCAAAGGATGACTTCTCATTGCCTGTATTTGAACTTATGATATATGTAGTGTATCACATTCTTTGTTCTCCTTCATGGACGACCTTTCAGTTTATAATCAAATTTTAAAATGCCCTAAAGATGAATAACTTACTAATTTTCGCATGCCTATAAGTATTAACAATTACAAATATATAAGCTAAATAACTAATTGTATTCATTTTATCTTTTATTGTAGAAGAGTGTAAAGGAACGCATATCTAACAATAACGTCATATAACAATGTGTCAACATCACACAGTAATCATGAATAAATAAGAATGTTGTTACTGACCTAATGAAGTTCATCGACGCCTTTAAATAAAGTTCACTTTGAAAATCTTGGTTGCCGGTTAAGCTAGCTAGCAGTATGTCATTTATATGGCATCAACATCGATCATATCCATCAAGTAAATAATTATAATCATGCAAAAGATATCATGAACAATAAGTAAATATCACTATGCATCTTGAATATTTATATAGTAAAAGTTCAACCATATGATTCATGAAAAAAGTGCCTAAATGCACAACAAGTATAACAAAAAATGTGCTGTTAATGTTCTACTAAGATCTATATTAACTTAAATAGAAAATAAATTAAATATGCAAAGTTGTACTTCTTTAATAAAGTAATATGCTTATAACTTAGCTACTAACATCCATGGCAGGAACAGCAATTATTACCTAACATATCATGCACGGGTACTTATGTGTAAAGCAAAAAATTTTTTTTAAGGGATTTGAATCCTAACCTCCTTAATAGAGAGTTTAAAGTAAGGTCCACTGACCTAGTGTTAACTGGCCACAAATGAACAGTTAGAAAGTGAAGCGTTCAATGGATTAAGTTAGCTTAGATGCATTAAAAATTGAACTAATGCCAAGTCCTCTTGGGGTTTCTAAATTGTCACAAAATATCCTAGTTTAGTATATAGCATTCTTTGATCATAATTTACTTGTAATTATTTTCTTAGAGATTTATGTCTCAAATCTTGGGTTACATAGATGGACCATTACCTTATTCCCTTGTTTGAATTCAAGATATCTCATATCCATATTTGTAATAGAGTTACAACACATGGTTAACAATAATGCAATTCATGTATATGAGTAATACGTATTGCAATAGGGTATAATGCATGTATATATAAAATTAATGTATTCTCGGTTGAAGTTCTTAGGTTCCTGTAAATGGGAGACCTTCGAACTGTAGTTGAAGAACTCTACTGCAGGAGCTTCTCCCAAGGATGAAACAGTCAAGAAACTAATAAATTAGAGCAAAACTGAGACTTGCTTTGAAATCCTTCCCGAACATGGCCTCCTATTACTTTCTTCTATGCACCATTGGTACCCATGAGCTCCATCTCCATGCACTCTAATATTTTCTTTACTTCTATACATTTCAAAGGATTACTGATGTAGAACGGGTAGGTGGCTTAGCTCGGGAGAGGATCTCCTCTCCAAAATCTGAAATTGTTCCTTGCAAAAATCTGAAATAAATCTGGATTTATCTCAGAAATCTGAGAAGAAATCTCAGTTTTGGTGTTGAGGGAAGAAGAGCGTGAAGTAGTAGGAAATCAGGAAATCAATCCACTAGAGAACCAATGGTGGAAAGGGAATTTAAGAGAGAGAGCTGGCTAGGGAGGGGCGGCGGGATGCTGAGGAGAGGGGATTTAATTCCCAAAATAATTTTCCTAGATTTAGGAAATCAATTGGATGGATATGGCAAAGGAAAATTTCGGATAGGAGGGATTTGAGGAAATTTGAGTTATTTCCTAAACTTGGATGGGAGATTTGGGAAATAACAGAAATTAAAATCCCAAAGGTGAATCTCCAGATTTTAGTAGCATAAGATGTAGAGAAATTGGGGAAGCATTCAAGCCTTGATTCCAGCAAGGTGTTGAGTGGGAGAGGGAGAGAGTTGAGGAGAGACAACCCAGGAAAAGAGCATGGGCGATTTCAGCCAGCAGCAGGGAGAACTTTGGAGAAATAATACCAAGCAAACAATTAAGGAGGCGGCGGCTGAATTGGGGCCATTTTTTGGACTCCGATTCCTCTCATAGGAATCTCACTAACGTCCTCTCACCAGAGCACAAATGTGGAACACAAATTTTTTAATATCAATTCTTCATCCCCCTTACAATAGCTTAAGGCCCTATATATAGGCCACAACATGAGAAAAATCAAAAATTACAAAATTGTCCCTTGGCCCACAACACTTAAATAAACTAACATAGGGGTAAAACAGGACATAACATAAAATAAGAGCTAAAATTAAATAAAATAACTCATAAATGGCAATTTAAATTAGAGCCGTCGATTTAAGACGCCTCCTGTGATAGATGCGTCAAATCTTCGTGCCGATGTCCGCATCAATTACCAACTCAAAGAATAACCACAAATTAATTCAGAGAAGCTTAATTGAGGTTAATAGAAAGCTTTAGCCTGCAACTCTGCACACTGTCAATGTGCGTTGCGTTTTGAACAATATTGGAACAGAATTTCCATGTATAAATTAGTATGAGGAATCCAAAGCCAATTATTTATAGATTTGTGTTCATTAGTCTCTATAATCCATAGAAACTTATATACAAAAGATACAGATCTCAATGAAAAATGAATGTTAACAGAGAAGTTCCTTACCTGAATTTTTATGCTACCCATGAGAAAAGTGAGGGGGACCTCACTGAACGTAAGGCCCCACACCTTCTCTCTCTCATGCAACTTTATAAGCCTACTATCATCTCCAACTTCTCGTTCATGTTCCTTCCATTCATTAGCTCTCCTTACTGGTCTATCTTTCCATTTTTCCCATCCATGCCAAATCTATTATAGAAAGCTTGTCTGTAGGAGCATCTACTGCTTTGGTCGCCTGCATGAGCCCATCACTATCAGAAGACCCCACTTGAAGATAAGGTGCAGATCATGCCTTACCTCAACTTAAATGGTGAAAGAAATGTGAGTTAAAAGGTGGCTCTGTAGAGAAGCTATAACTTTCCAACCATTGCTTTCATGCCTCCAATGCTATGATAATGCAAAGAAAAAGACCGTTTTGAGATCAAAAGGGTTGCCATCTTTTATAGTTATTTTGCAGATCAAGGGATAGGAGTTATGAGTAAATTAGTAATTTTTCAATTGGTGAAGCGAAGTTCAGTGTAACAGAAGTGCTTAATTTACTGTTGATTCTTCTCATAAATTTAATATCGTGCAGAATTGCAGGGTATGCTCTCTAGTCTCTACATTAATTTATGTTATCCACAATCATTTTTTTATTCGCGTGATATATTAGCGGTGCTTCCTTTTTTAACCAGGTAATTCCTATTTGGGTATAGTTAAAACCAAAACAAGTTTCTACTTGCGGGAGAATCTACATAGTTGTATAGCACTCTCGGCCTCTTTGTCTTATTTTTTAACTTAGGTTTTTCCTTTGTATTTTTTTATGTCTTTTGAGTCAATTAAGACAAATTCATAGACACATCATATTCGTAAGCTTCGAAACTAAGATTTATTAGTTGGTAGCTAAAGCTCCCAACTAACAAATCAAGATGAGCTGCATTTTCTTTTTCCTTTGTGTTGCAGTAACCCTTGGTGATTATACAGTGTGGGCCCTGTAATCTTTATTTCGATATTGTCTCTTTGTACAATTAGCATGAGGGCAAGTTTTTTTTCTTATTTTATTTGATGAAGATTTCATACTGAAAAGAACTAATTTTCATAAACAATTAATTTCCTCGTAATTCTCTCTTATCCGGTAATTATCTTGCATGTAGTTGAGATTGTTTATAATTAATGATTGTTGAAAGCGAGTTCTTACTGCTGCGTTATAGTTGCAATATCTGTGTATTTTTTCTCAAATCTATATATTTCTTCTATATGTTTTCTTATATAAATCCTTAGCTTCTTATTCTAATTTATTTTCTTTGTTATGAAAGGCAAAGGGAAAAAAGTTTCTTGTTTTATGCAAGTTGCTGTATTCTCTGAAGTCCTAATCTTTCCAGATTATATAGCTGCGTATTTTCCTTCATATTCATGTGTGAAATAGAGAGAGAGAGAGAGAGAGAGAGAGAGAGAGAGAGGAAGGGAGGTAAAGAGATGATGGGAACCTTATCAGTTATCACTGACTCTTTATTCCATGGGGCCAAAGTAAGATACTTTGGGGGTTGTCCAGTGCTGTGTTTTTTTTTCCTCCAACTCTATATAAGGATCAGCCGCACCTTCTCTTTGCTACTCACTGCCTCCCTTTTATCCTTCCTTTCTCTTCTTCTTTTCAAGCTTTTCTTAATTTTTTCATCCTGCAGGCAAGAGTAATTATGATGAGCAAAACATTGAAGTTTCCTTCTCATCATTGGCTTCACATGGAGGTTCAGGAAGCGTGGTGCAGCCAAGGATGACTTGCCGACCACTCAATAAAATTTCTTATTCACAATGATTCTCTCTCTGTCTTTCTCTCCATCTTGGAAGTCAGTTTAAAAGAGAATATGAAATTAAGAAGAAGTGGGCAAGTTGTCTTTGGCTACATAGTACTTCCTTCTCCCCATGTTAGGCTTTTTGATGACATGATTCAATCAGAGATCTGAAATATCATTGGAGACTCTTAGTTCTTGTTGATTAAATCATGTTCTTTAACTTCGCAAACATATCAAAAAATAGAGATAGCACTTTTCAGTTTGAATCCGTTCTTTATCTTTTTTTAATTTTCTGTTTGAATTCGTATGGATCTTTCTATTTACTCGCAATGCTGCTAACACTGCTCAGACAAGAATCTTTTTTTTTCCCCTTTTTGTGTTCTCTTTATGTAAACTGACGTCTATTTCTTTCCTGCTCCTATTGCGTTCACTACAATTTATGCCAACGTTCTTTTTTAATGCTCTGCCAATCATGAAATTAATTTGTCAGCTGAAGTTCATAGAACATTTAATTTAGACAATTATTTAAAATTCTTTACAACCAAATAAATCATCTGAGCTCATTGTGAAAAATGAATTTGTTATTAGGTTTGAAAAATACTCCCTAATGTTTTTTTTTTCTGTATATTTGAACTAGTATTATTGCTTTTCTTTTACTGTTTTATTGTTCTGTAACTTAAATTTGATGCAACATAAGCATGATAATGTCTTCAGCATTCTGTGTTTACTTTCAATTTTATTAGATAATATTGTTTTCCTTTTAATTGATCGATTGTTCGGTTCAAATTCATAAGCAGTAAAGATGTTTTTCCAAATCAGACTGAAATGTTGTGTTAGGAATTTAGTAAGACTTAGGCTTCGTTTGGGATGGCTTTCTTTTTGCTTCTTAAAGTAGCTTTCTAGTAAAAAATTAAATTAAAATTTTTGTACCAAAAAGCTGCTTTAAAAGCAAAAAGAAAGCCGCCCCAAACGAAGCCTTAATTCAAATCAATGAGATAAACTAAAATAACAAGAATATAAATGCAACACACAAAAAAAATTATATAAGTTCAGCCAATTGATAGCTACGCCCTATAGCTATGCTTGTAGATTTTATTATTTTAGAGGATTTACAATTCCAATCTCTCCTATGGATCACATAAAGGCGATGCTTTCCCTACTTTTCTACCAGAAAAATATTTTAGGGCAACTGAAAATTATACTGAAAGTTAGTAGCTCAACTGAAAATTATACCAAAGGTACCACAACTTAACATGTTGAGCTCGTGCTGTTACCAAATATTACAGGAAATTACCACTTCTTGCGCAAAGCATCCATTTTTTGTTAGTAAGTACTCCCTTCAGCCAGTCCACTTCATACTTCTGAGATGAAAATTTAATTCTTCCATCTGAATGGGAGAAAATATATCATTATCTGTTAAAAAAATAAAAATTAAATGCAACTACTTTATGTTGTTTGCAAGTAATATTAGAGTTTTCAAGTTCTCCATTTACTTTCAATTGTGTCAATATCTTAAAATCAAACAAAAGCTTCAGAAATCACAGCAGATATACATTATCAAAGATAACAACTTGACTGTTGTCCTTTCTGATGATTGTGTTGGCTAAATATGCTGTGATCCCACATCTCTGTTCAATAGTACTATATTTCTGTCAGTGAAAGGGATCTGTCACATGTGGTCATGGATTCTCTTGTTTGTACAAAGATATGTGAGAGGGAAACTTAGTAGTTAGTAACTTTTTAAATTTTAAAGATTAATCCTTTAGCTAATTTTGTTCACACCTTTTTTAGTTATAAAATTTTACACTTTATTATTGAGCTTAGTTTGAATTGTAGATAAATTTCATTCATTTTATTAAAATAATACTGCCGATATTCTATTCTTCAATTCTCAATGAAATATAGAGACTAATTACCTTGCAGCCAACATAAATTACAGGATGCATTTCACATTATGAGAAATCATAATGTTAAAACAATCAAATGCATCATTGTTAAACTAATCAAATGCATTTCAAAAACTATGGATGCTATATAGCTTAATTAGTTCTATGATATTAAAAAGTCATCACATTATGAGAAATCATAAAGATATTTTTTGAATGCAATCAAAATTATCAATAAAAAAGTTTTTAATGATCTGATTATCATCGATTTAGTTTGTTGTTTATATTCAGCTTATATTTGACTCAATAGTAAATAAGCAAGTAAAAATTCTCAGCTTTATAACGTACATGCTGCCATACTCATGATGGTGCACAAAATGTTGGCAGAAATAGAATTAAAGAATAGGTTGATCCTAATCCTTTCAAGATATTTAGGTCTGTCTTCTTTCAAGGGCATTTGTAAATAGATGGTTAAAGCTGATATTATAAGCAAAGTATGATCAATGAACTGAAATATACACGTTTTTTTTTTCTTTTTTCTATTTAAAGATATATTTTTCAAATCATTGTTATTTGGATCGCAAAAATCCGCAATTGATCAATTAATAATTTGTCATAAAGTAAAAATCTCAGTTCATTTAAATCAACTCATAAAGGTTGAACTGACTACAAATTTCAGCTTCAAAATTATTTTTGAAACCAAAGATGCAAACTAATAGTTGAAATAATTTCCAATAGTACTAAAATTTGCTAAAAATAGACAACTACAAACCCTTAAATCAAGCAAAAATCAGTTGATTTGACCACTCAATCTGAACATGTCACCCCAAAACTAGGTCGTGCAATTATGGAGGTTGTTGGCATCGTTGCTTTGGCCAATCAGGCCCCCAACACCTCTTCTTCATGAGCATTTCCATAGATGTATTTGATCATACCAATTTTCATTTGATTTTATGCAGTTCATTCGCCTTGATTTGAACTTCATAGAGTTCTTACAACCTCTACAGGTCTCTGATTCATGGAGGCAAGGATTGGAAGCCAAATAATTATGCCTTGTACTTTGAACTCATATACATTTTTTGTACAATGATATATTAGCCATCTACAATATTAATTTGTTCTCAATGAGAATTTTTTGACAAAAATAATGCCTTATTATAATTACTCTTGTTAATTCAACTGTCAGAATTTTCATTGGTTCTCAAATGTATTGATGGTGTCAATAGATTCAAAATGATATTGTTTTTTTTTTTAATAATCAAAGATTTTGTTGACACCAACTGCTTCTACACCGCCATCAAACCACCAACAGTGGTCGCTCGACCAAAGATTGACCCGATTGAGCCCACTGGGTCTGCCCGATGGTGGATTGTTTAATCACTTTCTGATTAGGGGAGGGTCCAATCTAGTGCATTCATTGTCAACTGTCAGAATTTTCATTGGTTCTCAAATGTATTGATGGTGTCAATAGATTCAAAATGATATTGTTTTTTTTTTTTTGAATAATCAAAGACTTTGTTGACACCAACTGCTTCTACACCACCATCAAACCACCAACAGTGGTCGCTCGACCAAAGATTGACCCGATTGAGCCCACTGGGTCTGCCCGAGGGTGGATTGTTTAATCACTTTCTAATTAGGGAAGGGTCCAATCTAGTGCATTCATTGTAGGTAAAAATAGAGAAATATTAATAAATAAAAACCAGATTGAAATATGCCCCCTCAAAATTGTGAAGATATTACAGTTATGCTTATTTTACAAATTCTAAATTATGAAATCATAAGGAATTTCATAAATTTGATCACCTCCTAAATTTTTAGTTGGATGTTCCGATGTTTTAGATTTTTCCAACACTATTGACTGTGGGTTGTCTAGTCCCTCCCTCTTCATCCAAGAGTAAAAGTGTATGACCACCTCTGGTCGATCGTTTTGGCACCCTTGAATCTCCCAACCAATTCCAAGTATTCTAATCAACCTTCAGTTTAGGATAATTATCATGATTCCTTTAGGTGGCAATCAAATATGATCATTTAGTTCATACCCCCAATCCGTTAGTAATGTCAATAAACAATCTAGTTTGTTTCTTAAAATTAAGGTTTGAGTTAACCTGACAACCATTCAAGTTAAGTTCGAGTCTACATTATAGACCTAATTATAACCTGGTTTGGGTTAGGACTGCCCAACAACATGAAATTACCTCAAGATTGACCTGATTACTATTTGAGTTTGGGTTAGGTAGGTTCAGATCATATTAATTGGGTAAAATAGGTTATCTTTAGGTTAATTGAGACTTGTTGATTCATAAATTGTATAAGTCATATAATTAATGTCTTAGATGGCTTAAATTCAAGTTATGCAGGTTATGCTTGGATCAAACATATTTAGGATGGATCAACTTCAGGTTTGATCCAAACTTGACCCATCAACCTGAGTAGACATCCCTATCTAGGAGAAGGGTTGTATCGACCATCTTTGGTCATCCATTGACTCCAAGTTATCTAGTTCATTACTTCATTCCCTATATTTAGAAGAAAAATTATCATAATTACCTCAAATCACCCGCTAACATGTCATCTAGTCCACCCCCTCCATTCAAGAGAACTATCATGACTGTTTCATGCGACTCTCGAACTCCAACCCATCTAATTCATATCCATACATTCAGAAGAACTACCCCAACAACCTCAATAACCAGCCTACTTCAGGTTGTTTAGTACTCTCTTCTTCACAAAATAGATTGTTTTGATCACCTAAATAGTTTGTAAACTTTGGATCTTTCAGCTTCCTTCTTTTAAGAAAGAGAATCATAACCATCTTAAATCGCTTTCCAATCCTAACTTATTTAGTCTCCTCTTCATAAGGATAGCTTAGAAGAGAAAAGAGTTAAATGAAGATTGAAGAGAAATACTAGAAGATAGAGGATAAAAGAAGTGAGCAACAACAGAGATGAAGAACAATATAAAAGAATAAGAACAGATCACAGGAGGCATGAGAAGTAGGTGACTGAAAATCAAATATTTTAATTCATCAAATCATAATACAATAATACAAGCAAACTATCATTTTATACACAAATATTTGCCTAAAATATTCAACTATGAAGGAAGAAATTAATGTCCATTTAAGATATTAAAAATATGCATAAAGATCCTTAAAATATAAGACAAATATTCAATACATTCATTTTATGAATTTTTTCCATAATCACTTCCTCTATAGGAGTTACTGTCATGACTGCCCTTTATCACTATCCACATTAATACCTCTGAAATCCCTTTGTTGTCACCTCTAGAGGTGACAAACCCATCCATCTTTAATTGTCTATGTGACCTTTCTGAGTTGCTCCATCACCACCTTCAGGTCTTGCCATCTTCACCATTACAAGAAGGCTAATATGAATGCCATCAATAATTTTGGCATCTTTCCCGTCCAACTCCATCACCTCCTTCAACTTGTATTGTCTCAATCCCTAGGGAGAATTAATCTAGCCATCTTTTGTGGCTTGTATGATCTTTCTGTATTATTTGGCATTGCCTTCAGGTCCTGCTGTCCCCACACATCTAAAGAAGAACCGATTCAACCATCTTTAGTAGCTTTCAAGACCTTCTAACATTGCATTAACATAACATTAAAGTCATGGCATCTCCACAAAATTAAAATAATCAATCCGATCATCATAAATAGTTAGCATGAACTTTTAGCATTGCATTGTCGTTTCAAGGTCTTATACCAACTTTACCTTTTAAAAGAAGAGTAATACAATCATCCATATCTAGCTTATTTTCTGCTTTCATCATCATTAGGGATATTTTCCATAGATTTCCTTTAACTTCTATGTATTGACACCTTGTGATTTCAAGGAAAGACTATTCTTTGTGATTAATGTCTATTATTAGTAAAAGTTATTTCAATTGCGTTAAGCCTTACAATTTTTCTTTTTATTTTTTCTTAGAAGAAATTATGTCACATATCCTCTTTACATCTCTAATTGTGTGTGGGGTACCATTTAAAACCGACAATCAAAATCTCTCTCTACTGACTCGACTTCTAGCATGCAAAAAGTATATCTAATTTAAATGATTTTATCGTTTTAGTTATTTTAGATAAAATAATGCTATGTGAGAAATGTTGTTCTACCTACAACTCCAAAATTTTTATTGTGTTGGTGCTAAGAGAGAATTAGAGAGAGTGAAAGAGAAAGAAAGCGTAATAATCCATGAGATTGTGCACTATCCAACCCTTTGCTGTCATGGTAATTGCTGACACATTAAGCAGAGAAATGGACCAATAAAACCAGAGCTCAAAATGGGATTCATAACTCATTACTAAAACTGTCATTCAACAGCTCATCTGATTTCTTCAATCTCTACAATGTTAGACCCAATCATGTAACTTATGACTGAAGGTAACCAACACTTTCAGAACTATATACAAAGTATGGTAGTTGATTACTTTAATGAAGAACATAATTTATCATCCTTTGGCTTCTGTTAGTATGGTTTTTGGCTTTTTGCAGCTTTAATCTTAAATAAAATTGATTTATGTTAAATTTGATGTGTAAAAAGCATGCCATGGAAGGCCATACCTTGCACAGCACAACATTACCAAATGAAACCTTCATCCTCTAATATGCCTCCAAAAAACTTTGGCACATAGCCATTGATCTTTAGTTGCTCATTTATCTCATTAAGAACCTCATATATCTTCTGAAAAGAAGGATGGAGTCCATCTCTGGATGTAAAATCATGAACCTTGCCATCCAATTCTATAGAACTCCCTCCAGGAACTTTAGAGACTCCCCAATCTTTCATAACCTTCCTCAACTTCCCAACTTCATGCCATTTTCCATGTGCAGCATAGATATTCGACAGTATAGAATAATTCCCACTATTTTCAGGCTCAACCTCAATGAGATGCCTCAATGCCTCCTCACCAATCTCAACATCACCAGATATTCTAGAAGCAGACAGTAAAGATCCCCATATAGCTGCATTAGGCTTAAAAGGCATTTCTCTAACTTCATCCCTTGCCTCCCTTAAGCAACCAGCACGACCAAGAATATCGATCATACAACCATAGTGCTCTATTTGAGGCTCAATATTGTAACACGATTTCATGCAGTTGAAGTACATTTTACCCAAATCAACATCTCCTACATGGCTACAAGCTGATAGAATGGCTATAAAAGTAATGCCATTTGGTTTCATTTCCTCATTTTCCATTTGATTGAAAAGTTGCAGAGCTTCTCTTCGAAGCCCATGCAAAGCAAACCCTGCTATCATTGTAGTCCAACTAACAACATTTTTACTCTTCATGTTTTTGAAGACTTCAAATGCCTTCCATATGTTGCCTGCTTTGGCATACATGTCTATGAGTGCATTCTTCAGTGGGATAGTCTTATGCAAGCCATGCTTATCAATGAAACTGTGAATCCATTCCCCCAAATCCAGAGCACCTAACTGTGCACAAGCTGAAAGTGTTGACAGCAATGCTACTTCATCTGGCTCAATACCATCCTCGACCTGCATCCTACGAAACAAGACGATCGCCTCATCTGCACGATTCATCTGAGCATACCCTGCAATCACCGACGTCCACGATATTAGATTCCTTTCAGGCATTTTCTCAAACAGCTCATGTGCACTGTTGGCATCACCAACCTTTGCATAGCCTGCAACCATCGCATTCCAAAGAACCACATCCCTCTGAGGAATTTCATCAAACAGTAGGCGGGCGTCAATTACACACCTGCAAGCAGAGTACATATGAACTAGACCTGTTGAGACATGAATGTCGTATTCAAAACCAAGTCGAAAAACCTGTCCATGAACCTCTCTGCCAACTTCAACGTTGGATAAATGTGCGGCAGCTTTCAGCACAAAAGGAAATGAATAAGTGTTTGGTCGAAAGCCAGCAAATTGAATATTGTTAAACAAATTAATAGCCTCTCCAGCTGAATCCGATTGAGAGAGACTTCTGATCATGGTGTTATAGAGGTGAAGATCAGGACTTTGTTCGAGTTTAAAAAGCGTAAAGGCGTAGTCTTTGAAGCCTAACGAAGAACAAACATGGATGAACTTGCTGAGGAGGAGTTTGTCTTGATCGAGGCCTCGGGAGAGCATAAAGGTATGAACTTGGCTTATGTGGTTGAAGGTGGAACATTGATTCAGTAAAATGGTGAGGAAATAAAGAGGAGTAATGTGATTAGTTCTTTTTCTGGTTTGAGAAGAAGTAGGAGAGGTTAGACAAGAGAAAAGTCGTCTCAAGCTGCTTCGTTGAAACATGGTGATTGCAATATGATTTGAACTTAATAGTTTAATAGCGTATACAAAGTTCAGGAAACCGCTAATTCTAATATTGCAGATGGTTTTTTTATTTTTTATTTTTTATTTTTTATTTTTCACTTCTGAGCCTATTAACGTAAATTCACACAACCATAACCATAGTATAAGAAAACTTCGAATTGAATACCTTTAGATTTGCTCGCAAAATTTTCAATCAACAATTTTTTGTTTTTTGGTAAAATTAGGGGCAGAGCCAACAAAATTTTCCCGACCATTCCTTTAAAGAAGAATGAAATTACATGTGTAAAAAAAGAAAAACAAATAAGGAGAAAAAATAAAAATTAAAAGAAGTTACAGACTTACAAGAGCAGCTACAAAAATGAGCTATGCTCAACGCGAAGGCACAGAAACACACATCAATTGATGGTGGACACAAAAAATGATCTTGCATCAGAATATAAAATGTGAAAAATTGACCAGAAGAATCAAAATTGGGTAAACACCACAACGTCTGGACTTGGATTGAATTTGAGATAAGTTGACAGAAATCGAGATAGGCACAATTTTCCCTTGGTTACCAAGAAGACCGTCCAAAGGAAGTAGTCTGGAGTTGATGGAAGATCATCTTCATCAAAGGCAATAAAAAATCCCACCAGATTAGAAACGAAAGGCACAAGGATCATCATAGCATCACTCACCAAACCGGGCCACAACGGAAAATGCAACAAGTAGCAAATCCTACCAGAAAAATTAAAGGTCATTAAGCCAACAACATCTCCAGAAACAAAACCTAGCCCTATTATACTTTTCCATATGGTGGAAGAACGTTGAGATGGTGGCTACCATGAAGAAGTATATCTAATAGCAAACCACTTGGATATAGAGAGGGAATATTGTAAATCCTACTGACCAAAGAACAATTGAAGGCAAACTTAAGACCAAGGAGAGTAGGAATACCAAGACCACCCAAGTGTTTAGGTTTACAAGTGCTATTCCACAAAATGAGATTCAATTTTCTTGTATGGGGTCACCAAAGAATTGAAATTTAGAGTAGAGTTTCCAAATAAATTTGCTAGTTTACTTGGGTATAATGGAACATCTAATCCAATATATAATAGTATTACACATAGTAAATTTAAAACACTGCAACCTACCTGAAAAAAATAAGTCTACCTTTCCAACCATATAATTTGTTAGTAATCTTCTCCAAAAGAGGAGATAAATTAGATAACCAAGGCTTTTTGAAAGAAATATGAATGACCAAATATGTGATGGAGGATACTGAGGAATGAATTCTGAGAGGATCACATAAAGGGGTGGCAAAGGAAATATTTGAGAAGAGAATGAGAAAGCTTTTGTCAAGATTGACATGAAGCCTAATGTAGATGGAAAATGTATTAAGGATACCCATCAAGGTGTTATAATTGAAGATAGAGGCCCTACCAAAAACCATTAAGTCATCCGCATAAAGCAAATGAGAGAGCTTAAATCCATCAATGGAGAATCCATCAGAATCAATAGTGGTTAAATCATTGATACTAGAGAAAATATCTATAAGAATACAAAATAGGTATGGACTAAGCGAAAAACCTTGCCTAAGCCCAAAGTGAGAAGCAAAAAACCCCTCTAAAGAGCCATCAATACATATTAAAAAAATGCACATTAGAAATGCAAGTTTTTATCCATCCAATGCATAGAGGAGGAAATCTTTTTTACTTCATCCTAGAGAAAAGAAAATCCTTGGAAATTGTATCAAAGGCCTTCCTTAAATCAAATTTAGCATACATGAGTTTTAGTTTTGAATTCTTTCTAAATAAGCCCAGAATTTCAGAAGCAATGATAACATTATCAATAGAAAAAAGCTATTGAATGAACCCGACCTGACTGGAGTGGGTAATAAAAATCATAATGGGATTGAGCCTTAATGGCAATAACTTTGCAATAATATTATCAAAGTGTTGCATAATAAGATGGGCCTTAAGTTTGAGATGGAGATGACATGAGACTTCTTATAGATTAAAGCAATAACAATTTCTTTGCCCCCTCAGAGATAACCTTTTATGAAAAAAAGATTTAATAGCCTTACAAATGAAAGGATCAATCAAAACCCAAGCTTTCTTATAAAAGTGAAAATTAAAGCCATTGGGACTAGAAGAAGAGGAGGAAGAGCTAGAAAAACTATATTTTAATGTCTTTATTAGTCACGATAGAAGTAAGAGTTGTGAAGAGATAAGGGGGGATGATTCACCAAGGGGAGGATGTTAACATCGGTAAGAGGAGGCGAAGGAGATTTATAGAGGTTTTTGAAATGATGAATGATGCCCCCCTATAATAACACTCCTATCAGAAGAACTATCCCTTAAGGAAGAGAAGATAAAATTTTTATTTTGGAAATATCTAGTGCAAATATTGGAATAAAGGAACTTAAGATCATCTTCTCCATTCTTAAGCCACTTAACTTTAGATCTTTGGATGATTCAAGAGGTCTTAGCTGTAAAGAAGTCAACAATTTGATGATTTGTATTTTTAAGCTTTTCACAGAGAAAAAAATTTAAAGGATGCAGATCCAACTATTATTGTAGAGCTTCTTGTTTGAATTGAATTTCATCGAGTTTAGAGCCAATAGAGTTTGAAGAAGCCCCTTTCATGGCCTTAAGCCTACCTCTTAGCATCTTGAGGGAATGTTATAAATGAATAATTGGACTACCTTGAATGGGGCGGGTAAAAACAAAGAAAAGATTAGCCCAAAAATCATCGAGCTTATGCCAATAATTTTTATAAAGAAACTTATGAGCAGCATTAGAGGGAGCAGCATGCAGAGTGTAAAACTAGGGGACAATCATTAGAATAAGAGTAGGGCATTACTCTATAAAAAGAGTGAGGGAAAACTTCCATCCAAGCTTCATTAACTAGATTCCAATCTAATTTCAAATGAATGGGGTTATCAACACGCTGATTAAACTATATGATAAAGTTACCAGCATAAGTGAGCTCCAAAAGGTGGGCATTAAAAACCAGAGAATAAACATCAGTAAACTTGCTACAATGAATCACATTTAACCCGCTTTGCCTAATTGAAAGCTACAACAATTGAAATCATCAACCAGAACCAAAGGACATGCATCAGATGGGTTGAAGCTCCTTAGTTGGTCCAATAAGAAGAGACATTCATCTATAGAATTTGAAGCATAAATGATAGAAAGCATAAAAAAGCTCAAGACCCCATGTTCTACGAAACCCTTATTTTTATGATTATGTTTGACCTAAAACAGTTAAAAACTATTTCAAGAGTCATTATAACTCCAAATCACAAACCGTTTTTGTCGTAGCATATATATTATTATGTTTTAGCTTCCCTAAAATTTTTATTATTTTTTGACACTGTTGAAATTTCTTAAAAAATTGACACATGTCGTCACAAGTGAAGTTTTTAGGACCGTCAAGTGTCCGTTTAGTAAACCAATTTCATCAGAATTTTCTAAATAAAATGAGCTATTTAATAAATATTTTCTATAATTTTTAAAATCCCTAAAAGTATTTCTATTTATTTTATACTAAAATTTATTTATAATAATATTATTATATTATTATTTTATATAAAAACAAAATATCTTAAATTACTTACTCTCCATATTCCCTATTCCTTTCGTTTCCACCAAGTCAGAATGGCTAACAGAGGTAAAAAAAAAAAAAGAAATAGGGAAAAAGAGAGAAGAGAGGTGGATTGACCAAGTATTTTCCTATTTCGATTGGGTTACATTAAGGATCAGCCTTAAGCCCATATCTTTTTGCTTTAGTCATGGATGTTCTCACTGGACATTTGCAAGAGGATGTACCTTGGTGTATGCTTTTTGCTGATGATATTTAAAATTATTCATGTAGCCGACCCCACGTAGTGGGATAAATGCTTGATGATGTTGTTGTTGTTGTAGGGAAAAAGAGAGAAGAGAGGAGGAAAACTCAATTTTGGGCCACTACAAGTCGTTTTCGTCCATCAGCCCAGTTGGGAAATTTGTTCGTCTCAAAGTAGGTCACATTACACATCTCTCAATTTTTAAAATATGAAATTTTTATCAAACTTTCATATCAAATTTTCTATTTTAATTAGCAAAAAATATGGAAAACTTTGTGCCGGTAAAAACTTATGCAGTGTAACATTTTATATGTTATAGAGATTATGTGTATGTAATTTTTGAATTTTTTTCAGAAAATTTTATAACGAGGTTTTTGAAATTTGTGGGATTTTTATTGAATAAAAATTTACATGGTTGTTGAAAAATAGTATTGTAGTACAATAAATATCTTAAAATATTATTTTACACATTACCTAATAATTTGATTATTTTCTGAAAATATTTATTTTTCCTAATAGAATTTTATATTATCTACCTTTATACATCATTATACTACTCTGACATATGCTCAATTTCTCTTTAACTACTATAATATGGTGATATATATACATATTTGATTAAATTATATCTGCTGGGAGTTGTAAGATGCCTGAATCCTCTAAGATTTTATCTGTGTCGGGGAATTGCTGGGAGTTATAAGAGGCTAGAATTCTTTGAGATTCTGTTTGAGATAGGAATATGTGATATATTTTACTTCTATAAGCATAAAAAAGGAGTCATAGGTGACCACAATCCTTTAAGGTTTTATCTGGGTATGTGAAATGTGATATGAAGTGCTCTATCATATGCATTGCAATTTATTTATCTATTCATTTTTATTATTTAAATAATTGGTTAATTATTATACTCCTATTACATTTCAATACAATAATTTATTAGATAATATTTAACTACTTTTAAATATTCAACAAAATATTTGATAAAAGAATATTTGAAAATTTAGATTGATTTGTATGACCTGCAAAGTTGTTGTACCTCACTATAATTTTGCTTCTGATTTTCATATCTGAAAAAAGGAAAAAGTTTTAGAGAAATAAGTTAACCAGGAACAAAGATAGAAATAAACTTGGAATAGGTGGCATTACACGTGAACACTGACACGAGAAAAGGTTTATTACTTTTAGGATAGTTTTATAATTAAAAAAATGGTTTTGTGAACAATGCAACATCAATATTGATATCGCAATATTTACAGTTGCAAAATTGACGTTGTGAATACATTCGGATGGACAGATCTCAACAACTACAAACACAAATTTACAGTTTGGTTGGAGATGCCCTCAGAACATATATCATTATTTTGTTTGAATTAGAATGATCTCTTTCTGAGCTTTACCTCTTTCTGCTATGAGATCTCCAAATCAAATTTAACATAAGATATTTCTTATTCTGACCTTTACTATATCATTTGTTAGAAAATATAAAATCAAAGAAATATTGAAGTTGATAAGAAATGTGAAATTCTAAGGCTTTTCCTTTCTAAAAGTTTCAGCTTTTCATTTTTTTTTTTTGGGGAAAAATAGTACTCTTTAGAAAGTGTAATTTAAATTATGATTGAAAAAATAAATTTTAATAATGATATGAAGTTCTGAATAAAACTGATTATTTGATATTTTTTATAAAACTCAAATATATGAATTATGAATCCCGATTGAACTGCCCAGACAGCTTTCTTGCCACAATCATAAATGTTGAGGCAAACAAACATAAGGCTTTAGTTCCATGCTTTTCTCACCACAAATCCATGGCCTCAACAAGCTTTTCTCACCACAAATCCTTAGCGCAAATCTCAACCAAGAAAGATCTGAAGAATCTACTAACATCAAACATCAAGCCAGATTATTTTTTGAAAATCTTCAAGATTTAAAAAAAGAAGAAGTAAAGTTTTTAATAACTGAAATTGAAGAACTTCACCTTTCAATTAAAATAGCAATAAAAGAACAAGAAAGCAATAACTCTTTAAATAGAATCAAAAGATACAAAATATCAAACAAGCTCTGATACAAATTAAATACCTCAAGGAGGCAGGCTATCTCTCTCTATTATCATAATCAAACAGGCTATCAAACACCAAAAACAACTTAGCCTGAAATGAGCTACCATGAACTTGCATTCTCATACAACAGACTTTGGAGGAAGCCTTTAGCACAGTACAATTTTTATAAACATCAAGTGAAAAAAAAAATAAAGAACTGTACAGAAATACAGATGAAAGGTCTGATTAAGCCACCATGATAAACTTAAATCTTATCTCCCAGAAACAGCCAGGGCTTTATCTTCAGACTCTTGCCTGGCTTTTGAAACTAGAGAAAGTGGAAGCTCTTTAATGGCAGAAACTGGCTCCCTGACTTCAGGTGCAGTGAGCAAAGGCTCTTCCTTCTTGGTATAGTTGAAACAAAGATCCTTATTTGCAGCTAAAGCCAATAGCTCAGACTCTTCTAACCCCTTGGCTGGCCCAAGGCTGCATCTCTCAGTGTTGTGCTTAGCTAATGCATCCTTAAATTTCTTTATCTGCAATGAAATGACATATTGATTCAAATTCACTTATCAAGCCATTACAACCAAAAGAAATTAACAGCCAAATGAAATTAAGGGGATGCTTGGTATCCTATTTTAGGCAGGATTAATGCAAGATTTGTTAAATGCCTCAATTTACAAAATTAATCAAGCTTTAATTAGATTTCATCGTTTTCATATTAAACAATTTACTAAAATTGGATCTACATTGTTTACTAAATCGCACTTGTAGCCAAACAGCCCCTTAATCATTTAAAACAAGAAATCACATAACAAAAAACTAAAAGTAGTTCACATAGGATCAATAACGAGCAGAACTTACAGTGGCATTAGTGCAGCTGAAGCTACAGAGACGACCATTTGCTCCCCTGTAGAACCTGAAAAAGGGTAGAACATGGACGTTCAAGCTATAACACATGGACTTATGCGTCTCATAATTCACTTGTAGAAAGAGAACATCTGGATTCCTTTCAGCAAATTGGCATATCTGCAATTAAAAAAATAAAATTCATAAACCAAGATGAAAATGAACAATAGAAGAAAAATACATAAAATAAAATAAGCAATTTATATGGCCATAAACCAACCTTTGGATGCAGGGCTCTGCAACCAGCACAACCAGGAGAGAAGAAATCCACAATAACAAGCTTGTCACCAGCTTCCGACAAGGAATCCACAAGCTCCTGAGCTGAAGTAATCTCCTTCATGTTAGGCTGTATCCCCTTCTCCCACCACTTCATAGCTTTTCCAATCAAAAGCGTCATCTAAATTTTATTTCAAATATGACAAAAAAATCAGAAAAATATTTCCTTTTCTCCAATCGCAAAGAGAAAGAAGAACAATTAGGATATATGAATCGCAGAAATTTTCAAACTACCTGAACAGGAACAGCATGGAGATTTCTATTCGGAAGTTTCCCCTTCTGGATCTCGACAAGCAATTTCTTCCCAAGAAAACTACTTGCAGGCTCAATCGAGCAGCGAGAGAGGGAACAAACGAAGCTTTTTCTTCCGTTCAAAGAAATAGAAGAAGATCGGTGGTTGAAAGGGGAAAAGACGCTTCCTTTGCTTACTAACTCAGCCATGGATTCTAAAGATCGCAGCTTTAGCACAGATTGAGAAAACCCTAAAATAAAACAGGGAAAGGAAAACGGGAGGAGGAAGAGAAGATAGGGTTTTGTTTCGGCCTATGATTTCAAAGAAATCGACGGAAGAAAAGTGCACGCATTCAGACTGCAAATTTGGCGTTTTTGCCGAAATTTTTTTTTTATCCACATCTCCACCGTTTGTGCTTATCCGAATTATGGCCGTTGAATTTTGAATGTAGTGTGACGTGGATGTCAGATCGGCTGCCACGTAAGCCGATAATGAAGGGCTGTCCACGTGGGCAGTTATAAGTGGGGAATCTGATTCTGACCCAGTTTGGAACCCGCGACAGCGTCCACAGTTTTTTGAGTGGATAAGTTTCGGTTATGATAAGATAAATTAGTTTTTTTTATCTATTTATCCATATCGAAAAAAAAATAGCATATTCTTATTCAAATTCAATTTTAATTAAAATAATAATAATAATTTTTTTTTTTTTTCAAGCCAGCTTTAATTATTGGAAGGGTAAATTTATAAATAATACCTATACACAATGATTTAATTCTTTTAGAGGACAATCACCTAAAGATTATAATATTTTAATTTTTTTAGGGAGACAATTGCCTAAAGACTCAAATAATAAAAAGTAATAAAAAAATATATAAGGGGGATAAATTATCTAAAAATGTATTTAATAAAGAATTTTTTATTTATTTTTTTAGCGAGACAATTTTCCCCTGGTAATAGGGGGTTCCGCCCCTGCCAATACCTCTTGATTGATAGCAATAGCTCAAAAACCAACAAATCAAAGTGAGTTGCCTTTGTTTGTGTTCAGTTCATTTAAAATTCGAGATCAAAATATCTGATTGCATTCAACTTGTTTCCTCACGAATAAGTCAAATATAAGCTTTTATGTAGTCGAGTGTAAGTTGTTCGTAAAAAATTCAACTTTTTTGATAGTCATAAATGTTATAGTCCCTACATGTAATAGTCATGAACTATAAAGAACCGACTTTTGTGATGGAAGTTAGATGATCTTTGAGATCATACACACAAGGCTACAATGAAGGCATTGGGTGCCTGTGATGCGACTAGCCAATTCGACTCAAAAGCCAAACGATCTTCTTCGGATAATTCGTCCAATCCTGAATTCTAACAACTGATTGCACAGTTGATCATTTGGATTTGTTGAGTTTGAAAGAGAGCAATGGAAGAGCTTATTTTTATAAATTTTAATGTATATAAAATCATTGGAAAAAAAAAAAATAATCCACAAGCTATGGATGCATATAAAATAGAGAGAGAGAGAGAGAGAGAGAAGGGGAGTTAGATGCTCCTTTTCAGCTTCTTTCGGCCAAAATTAATTGCAATAGAGTAATATAGCATTAAATCATAAGAAGCCGAAGCTGGAATTAGCTGTCATCATAGCTGTCCTGATGAAGTAGATATTTACATATATAGAATTTTAATTTTATGTCTTATAATATCTTAAATTAGAATAATATATCTATTATCTCTTTTCAAATAAAAATATGCACAAAAATTTAATTAATAATTTGAAGGTGTGTTTCAATACTTGGTAAAACATATATGATGATTATATTTGTATTTTGTGGACCATAATCAAGTAATTTAGGGCATTTAAAGACTTAGCAAAGTCTTTTTTTTTTTGGAACAGAGATATCTATTCGCTGCCACTCTCTTAGGAGGCGTTTGACGGCGTAACTAATCCCTTGGATGACCTAGAAGAGGAACTCATCCCAAAAAACCTCCTTGCCCACACTTGATTGGGCCACACTGAAGAGGAACTAGTGGAAGTTTAGAGACGGTCATTGATCGAGAAGAAATACGGAGGAAGTCGGGAAGTACTCTGACAGTGGTCGAGAAGAATTCTGATAGTGGTCAGGAAGAACTCGAGCAGTGGTCTGGAAGAACTCAAACGGTGGTCAATTAGATCTAGATACATAACGCAAGTGGAAGAACTGGTTAATGAAATTGACGAAGAAACTGAACTTCTCCAAATATGATTTACTTGCAAATATTTGCTCTGAATAGAAAGCAAGGCATTATTGCAAGCAAATCATGTGAAGAGCATTAACAAATTTGTCCACTTACGGCTTGTAACTCACTTCCCACCTCTTTTCCATTCTCTTTTCTCGAGAGGATTACTATAAGAATATGTTGGTTGTGTGAGTTTGTAATGTTACCTTATTAGATAATTATATCAACAAAAAAGAATATATTGGAAGAAGCCAGAAGGGAATATTTTTGGGCAAGATTTGTCATTTAGGATTTGTATGGACTGCCATTCAACTAGATTCGAATAAGGGTTTTATAGTAATTAAAAAGAAAATGTTAAGATCTTATGTAAGATAAAGTTAGAGATGAGTATTTCATTAAGATAAAATCGATGAAAACACGCATTGTTGACCTCCACATTGTTGCGTGCTTGAGGTGATTTTGGTAAAAAGAGAGTTTATTCGGTTTGGCTATGATTTTCATCTAAGACCACAATAAGTGAAATAAGATAAAGTGAGTGTGGGAAATGTGAGTCGATCTTGATCATGTTGAGAAGGTTGAAGCTCTCCTTCTTGATCAATGATGATGATAAATAGTTTTCTACAACAAACACAAACTTTGTATTAGTCAATACCTTGTGAGATAAACAATACCTTTGACAATCAGGGACAACAAGTTATAACAATTTAGGAGTCGCCATTGCCACCAATTAAGAGCATTATACTGCTGAGCAATTTTCATACCAATTAATGTTGAGCTAAGATGCTGGCTTTAGCACCGACCATTCTACCAATGTACTGCTGATCATCACCAAGGATGATGTTGGCATTGAAGACTTTAATGTGCAATCAATGGCTACAACCATTAATGAGATAGACTTATGGAGATTATTGAATGCCAAAGATTGGAAAGAAATCATACAAGGAGAGATCATTAGTGTTTATTAGTACTTGTTGTTAATATACTTATATTCATAAGTATAATGATCTCAATTGGAAAATGAATATTGATAAAGTGATTATAGGAAAATTGGTTTGTGATTTAGCTTTATTGGTAAAAAACAAAAAACTTAGTTATGATCACTAAACACCCATACATGACTCTTATTTTGAGGCTACTAATGTTCAAGAATGGAGCATGCTCATTCATAACCTAGTTGTTCTACATGTATTTCAACATTACCTTCTCAATATAATCAAAAATAGAACATTCTTTCCAACTCTTCTACTACTTATATTTCCAGATCATCAATTGCTTTTATTAAGGAAATTGAGATCTCCCAAAATCACGGGAAAACACGCGATTACCGTCGGATTTTTCGGCGGAATAATTTGCGTTGGTAAATACGGCGCATAGTGCGAAGGAAAGTTTATGGCGTTTTTTCCGACGTATGTTCCGCCAGAAACGTTCCGACGTCTAATGCGCCGATAAAAACGTCAGAATATACCAGCATTTTACTAGTTTCGGCACACTTTAGACGGAAAATATCCGGCGCAGTTACCGGTGGATAATACGCCGGCGTTTTTAAACTCAACGACTTAAAACCGGCGTTTTTAAACTCAATGACTTAAAACCGGCACAAAATGCGCCGGAATATTTTCCGGTGTCTGGGACGCCGGAAAATACGCCGGCAAAAGCCCTATTTATGAACCCAAGCCCCTCTGGATACTCATTTCATTCGTTTGTTTCTCTCGCATCTCCGCTGTTTCCCTCGTCGCCCACCATCGCTCGCCATAGATCGAGGTCGCCGAGCTCAGTTGACGGTCACCGGACGTCACCGACGGTCATAGCCTTCCTCGCCGGCGAGAGCTCCATTTCCGACCGTGAGTTTCCGCCTTCCTCCTCTAATCGATTGCCCGTCGATTGTAAGTTTTTTTTTCGTGTAATTTGTTTGGATTAATGCCGGGTTGATCTATTATGGAAGGCATACATTTTTTGAGAGGTTTGATGGACAAATATAGAGAGAGTAAGGAGGATCTACATATGTACTTTTGTAGATTTAAAGAAAGCATATGATAAAGTTTCAAGAGGAGTGCTATTGAGAGTTCTTGCAAAAAAAAAAGTTAATAACGCTTATATTCAATATTTTTTTGTTTCTAAACTTTTCAAAATCAATTTGGATTAATGCCGGGTAGGTCTACTATGGAAGTTATACATTTATTGAGAGGTTTGGATGGAAAAATATAGAGAGAATAAGGATGATCTGCATTTGATATTTATTGATTTAGAGAAAGCATATGATAAAGTTTCAAGAGATGTGCTATAGAGACTTCTTGAAAAAAAGGAGTTAATAATGTTTGTATTCAAAACATTAAAGATATATATGCATGAGGTATTACTTGTGTTCAAACACAAGGTGGTTTGACAAAGTGTTTTTCTATTATGTCTGGATTACATAAAGGATCAGCCTCAAGTCCAAATCTTGCAAGAGGATGTACCTTTATGTATTCTTTTTGCTTTAGTCATGGACATTCTCAATTGGCATTTGCAAGAGGATGTACCTTTATGTATTCTTTTTACTAATGATATTCTTCTTGTTGATAAGATTAGAGAGGGAGTTTAAGGTAAAATTGAATTATGGAGGTCAGCTTTAGAGTCTAATGATTTTCGCTTGAGTAGATCTAAAACTAAATATACGGAGTATAATTTTAGTAGTAATTGACCTAAAGATGAAATTGTGACTTTTCGCGATCAAGTCAATAGTAAGAGTAGTCATTTTAGATATCTTGGATCTATTGTTCAGAGTGATGGTGAAATTGAAGGGGATATTATCAGCAGAATTCAAGTTTGATGGTTGAAGTGGAGGAATGCATCAGGCTTATTATGTGATAGAAAAGTTTCCTTCAAACATAAGTGAAAATTCTATAAGATGGTGGTGAGACTTGTAATGCTTTATGGTGCCGAATGAGTTAAGTGTTGCAGAGATGAGATGCTTCGATGGATGAGTGGCTTGACCCTTTGAGATGGAATACAAATTGATCATAATTTTCTACAATTACCATATCTTTTTACTTTTGTCGCAGATGTTCTCACTACACATTTACAAAAGGTCCGGCGCAGTCACCATCTATTTCACCATCACTTGAATTTTAATATTAATATTTCTATATATTCAGTTTTAGATCTACTTAAGCAAAAATCCATTACTTATTTGCTCTTATATGTAGGTTATGGATATTAAAAATCAAAGAAGTTGGATGTATAACCGATTATTTCAAGGATGAAAGACATTAACAGATGAATTCATTAATGGGGTAAACATTTTCATTCAGCAAGCGAAACAACTACCCAGCTTCATATCATAAGGAAAGTTTTGATGTCCATGTTCTAAACATAAAAATCTAGTGCACCTAACACTAGATGATGTAACTGTTGATCTGTATCGCAGAGGATTCATGCCATGATATTGGTATTGGACTTCTCATAGTGAGTACGAGCCACAAATTGATTATCAATGCGATCCTTCTACAAGTACTAATATAGCTGAGGCTGAAAATATCCGACCAAATCTTGAGGAATTAGTTCATGATGCAACTGGAATACAAATTGAACAAAATACAAAAGAGTTACCGAAATACGAAGGCACAAAATTTTTATGATTTATTGCATGTTACCCAACAACCAATCTGGAAAGGGTGCACCACTCACTCAGAGTTATCTATTGATATGAAGATGTTAAGCATCAAGGCAGAATATAATATTGCTCGTGAATATTTTAATCAATTCATTGGGCTGCTTAAGGAAACCAATCCAACAGATAATTTAATTCCTACATATCTATATCGAACAAAGAAGTTAGTTTCCAAAATTGGTTTGACATACACAAAGATATATTGTTGTGTCAATGAATGCATGCTATACTTTAAAGAAGATATCTCAGAGATTGCATGCCGTCATTGCAATGCACCAAGATTTAAACCAAAATCTGGAAATAGAAAGAAGTAGAAGGATGTGCCTGTCAGTAGGATGTTTTACTTTCCAATAATTCTGAGACTACAACGGCTATATGCATCCATGAGATCTGCTGCACATATGAGATGGCATAATGATCACATTCCACAAGAAGGTGTTATCACACATCCATCAGAAGCAGAGGCTTAGAGGCACTTTGATCGTACACATGTCACATTCGCGGTAGAACCAAGAAATGTCATATTAGATTTATGCGCAGATGGTTTTACTGCTCTGATGGAGGTCATACCCTCGTATGCCTGAGCTTATGGTTTAGGTTCGCAAGCTCAGGCATATGAGAGGATGACCTTCTCTACTGCATCCAGCTTCGCATCCAATTCACATAAGTCCTTACATGCTCAATAAATAAGTGCCCTTCAAACAGTGCTAGAACAAGTAAGGAAATCACAAGCTGATTGACAAACTCAATTGCAAGCATAGGTTCAAATGCAGATTAAGGAGCAACACAATCAGTTGTTGGATGAAATACGCAAAATGAGGGAGCATTTGAGTGGAAAAGAGATAGCTCCAGCTGAGGAGGAGTCCACGGAGTCAGAGTAGTTTAGTTTAGTTATATGAACTTGTTTATTTCTGTGAATCTGTGCTATTGAACAATATGTGATGTTTTTAGTTGATTGATGCTATTGAACAATTTCTTTTAATGGATATTTATGTTTTTGAGTATATGTTGAAGTTCTTTATAACTGTAATGTGTATAGCTGTGTTCTGGATATGTATTTGATTATATTTGCAGGAGTGGAAATGCAATTATTCGCTGGAAAGGCAATTTTTTTTTGTTAATGCTACAGATTTCCGACGGATTTTGCGTCGAAAATACGACGGAAACGACGATACAATGAATCGGTACAATCATACCGGCATTTTTTTGGACGCCGCAATTTCCGGCGCATCTTACAGCGTCGTATCCGCCGGCGTTTTCTGGCTCCAATTATTTGCCGGAAACAAGCCGTAGCTTATTTACGGCAAACCTACGACGTTTTATCCGCTGGTAATTTTCGTCAGATATATACGTCGTAAACTTCCGGCGCACATATCGCCGGAATAAACGGTTGAAAAACGCTGGCTTGGCTAGCATTTTTTGCGCCAGAGATGGCGTCGAAAAGTTTTCCAGAGTCTTATAAACGTTGGAAGGTATTTTCCGACGCGAACCAAACTGGCGTACAAAAATCCGCCGTAAATGCGCCTGAAACCCAGGACTTCCGTCGGATTTTACATGTTACCGTCGGATTATATCCGCCGGTAATAGAGGGTTTTCCTGTAGTGTATTCAAATTTAAATTGAATTGGCTCATTAGAAAAAAAAGATTTTTGGGTAATAATATACGTTTGTTTCGTTGCTTAACACAAAACAAATTTTATTAAAATTTTTTATCAAGGATTATACAACTATCTTATTGAGAAGAATTTTGTTGGTTGATGACTCTCTAATGAGACTTTCAAAGTAGTTTTCTCGCTTTAGATATTCCAATGAATCACACATTGTTTCTATTTACTTTTCCTTATTTAAGAGAACACATATTTAATAAATCTATTGTATTATGTATTCACTAGTCTCTTTATGTTGCAACCCTCTTCGAGTGGACCGTCTTATTGCTTATGTTTCTAGGCTATCTATTGTTGGAGTCTTAGTAGAATCCCAAAATCATTTAGATATATAATTTGTATCCAAAGAAAAAGGATATTAGCATAAAGTAATCTTTGATAAAAGATTGAGCTTTTGCTCTCATTGCCTCTTGCTTGGAGAAAAAAGACTATTAGCTCCTTATGAAACCTAAAAAAGATAAGAACATAGACATTCAAGGTACAACACATTGATTTATGCATCTATAATTAATGACACATCAAAGTCTTTGATAATGATACCATGCTTGGTGATGAACGATGAAACATTGATGGAATGTTTTGTGTTGATGACAGTAACCTTGTCTTATAATAGATTGGCTTTCAAAATTGCTCGGCTTTACAATTAATACCTAATTATTGGTTCCAATGGTGATAATTGCATCATTATGACTTGTTATTTATGCTGAAGTTGTTTCTTATCTCATAAGGCAATGAACAATGTTTTTTTTTTTTTTTTTTTGAGTTTTTGAAGTATGATTATTCATTATCATCACGTCATCATTATTGTCTAAAAAGGAGAGGCATGTTAAAATTAGATCTAGGAATTTGATTTCTACTCGATATTGACAGGCGTCATAGAAAGGGCAAAAATAAAGTTCATGTAAAGATCCTTCATGTTATTGATTCTCCTTCAAAACTCTTAATTTTGATGTCATAATCGATTAGGAGATACAACATGACTAGATTTGTCTTTTTTGTTTTCTTCATTTTGTTTGGTCTTATGACCTTTTATAATTGTCATTTTATTGATGAAAATTATTTTCTTAAAAAGTAACATTCAACTTTTTAAACTACCAAGACAAAAAATGCTATTTGAGCAAAAATTATTATTTTTATTGAGGATTATACAACTATCTTATTAAGAAGAATTGTGTTGGTTGATGTCTCTATAATGAGGGTTTCAAAGTGGTTTTCTAGCTTTAGATATTCCAATGAATCACACATTGTTTATGGTTACTTTTCCTTATTTAAGAGTACACATATTTGATAAATCTATTATATTATGTATTCACTAGTCTCTTTATTTAGCAACCCTCTTCGAATGGACTGTCTTATTGCTTATGTTTCTAGGCTATCGGTTGCTAGAGTCTTAGTAGAATCCCAAAATCATTCAAATATAATTTGTATCAAAAGAAAAAGGATATTAGCATAAAGTAATCTTTGAAAAAAGATTGAGCATTTGCTTTCATTGCCTCTTGCTTGGACAAAAATGACTATTAGCTCCTTAATTATGAAACCTAAAAAAGATAAGAACAGAGACATTCAAGGTACAACACATTGATTTATGCATCTACAATTAATATATGACACATCGAAGTCTTTAATAATGATACCATGCTTGGTGATGATCGATGAAATATTGGTGGAATGTTTAGTTTTGATGACAGTATCTTTTGTCTTATAAAGATTGACTTTCAAAAATTGCTCGGCTTTACAATACATAATGATTGGTGCTAATGGTGATAATTGCTTCATTATGACTTGTTATTTATGTCTAAGTTGTTTCTTATCTCATAAGGCATTGAACAATATTTTTTTTTTTTTGAGTTTTCGAATGATGATTATTCATTATCATATCATTATTATTATTGTCCAAAAAGGAGAGGCATGTTAAAATTAGATCTAGGAACCTGATTTCTACTCGATATTGGTTGGCGTCATGAAAGGGGCAAAAAATAAATTTCATGTAAAGATCCTTCATGTTATTGATTCTCCTTTAAAACTCTTAATTTTGATGTCCTGATCAATTAGGAGATACAACATGACTAGTTTTGTCTTTTTTGTTTTTTTTATTTTGTTTGGTCTTATGACCTTTTATAATTGTCATTTTATTGATGAAAATTATTTTGTTAAAAATTAACATTCAACTTTTTAAACTACCAACACAAAAAATGCTACTTAATTGAGCAAAAATTATAATTCTAGCAACAATAAAGACTTTCTAAGAATAGATGTGATGTAGGTTCATCTTTGATAACCACTACAAGTCATTGGTGCATAATTTAGCCTTGAAATCTTCTATCAAAATAATAATGTTTTGTTGATATCCATGGAGTAAACTTCTATGCAATTATTGTTAAGAAATAATAGCCTTCTAGAAATACCCTAAATGTAAAATTCCTTGTATTTATAAAATCAACCATTATAACTGCATCAAAGACTTTTTTAAGCCAATTTCTTGTAAATTTCATGGCATAATTGAGTAATTCTATACCCAAAATACTATAATATTCTTCTTTACGTGGAACAATCACAACTAAGTTTTCTGTTTATGTACAATGAGGCTAAAGCACAAACCAATGTTCAATATTCATTTTCTGTTGAGATCATCATACTTGTGAACATAAGCCTATCAATAGTAGACTTATAAACACTAATGATCTCTCTTTATATATATGATTTATTTCTAATCTTTAGCACTTCCACATGCTGCAGAAGTCAAGCACACCACCAGTAGCTATTGATGGCACATCAAAGTCTTCAATACTAATATCATGTTTGGCGATGACTGAGGATACATCAGTGGAACGGTCGGTGCTGATACCAGTATCCTGGCTCAGCATTGATTGGTTTGAAAATTGCTCAGCTTTACAATGTCTCCTGATTGGTAGCAATTGCGTTGATTGCATCGTTATAACTTGTTGTTCTTGGCCGTCGAAATAATCTCTTATCTGATCACCAGGCATCGACCAATATGAACTCTGTGTTCGAGGTGGAGGATTATTCATCATCATATCATCATCGTCTTCATTTAAAAAGGAGAAGTAGGAAGGCATCGGCGGCTCAATTGCTTTGAATTCATGAACCCCACCACCACCGATGCTCGCATTGAAATAGGGAGGATCCATAAGTAGTGGAAGGGTATTTGAAGAATTCAATAGCTCCTCTTTGAATCCTTTGATTCTATGCAAACTAGCATCAATTGGAATCGAGCTACTCTTTGCTCCATTATTGTTCTTGTGGAAAACTCTACAAACAACCCATTCATCCTGCAATCATATAAAAAGATAAATATTCTTTTAAGTCACAAAGTCAATATATATATAGAAAAGAAATTAAAGATTAAATTTTAGATTTTTAACCTTGGATGGCTTGTAGAGATTGGAAAGAGAGGTGCAATTGCCTTGGAGCCTATACTCATGAATAACCCAATTGGTCTTCTCTCCTTTAGGAGCCCTCCCTGTATAGAAGACAAGCGTCTTCTTCATCCCAATCAAAACTTCTGATCTCCCTCTGTAGATCTCCTTATCCTTCCCCGTCGCCTTCCAATACCCAGACTCCGTCGCTCTATTTGTTCTCGTCCCCGTCGGATATTTTCTATCTCTCTGACAATAGAAGTACCATTCCTTCTCCCCCATCTTCGCTTTGCCTACATGAAAACAGTTTAAATGCCATCACAATAGCTTCATATAGCTTTCCTCAAATCTAATGGAGGTGAAGCTAAGAATAAGAAGAACATACTTGGAAGATCCCAAGGCTCGCACTTGTTCAAGTCGACAACACCCATAGCTCGAGTCACAAAGCCATGGTTGAGAATCTTAGGAGTTAGATAGTGCGTGATGATCTCCTCGTCTGTCGGGTGGAATCTAAATCCCGGAGGCAGAAGGAAATTTGTGTCTTCCATGATCATCACCATGAAAGAAGCTTCAATGAGAGAGAGAGAGAGAGAGAGAGAGAGAGAGGATGAGAGCTGAGAAAGAAGAAGAAGGGAGTTAAATAGATTATTCTTGCCATGGAAGGCACTTGTTGGAGAAGCCATGGGCTCCTGCTTGATTGTTACTGTTAAGAATTTTTAATGTTGGTGTTGAATTCCTTATAGATTAAAATATTAATTAATTAACTAAGAACACTTTTTATCTTTAAATTATTAAAAAATAAACAATTTTTTTAATCTTTTGATTGGTACTGATGATATGTAGTTTCGAGGAAATATTGCGTTTTTGCAGAAGAAACCGACCGGCAAAGAGGAGCTTTCAGTAGCCGTGGACCTTTGTTTTGGACTTGGGTGGCAATTTTGTAAAATTAGTTAATTGAATTTTATTTGATAATTTTAAAAATAATGAAGACTTTTAGAATAGCATATGATAAGAGATTGAGAATAAAGTTGGTAGTTTTATTAGAATTTTTTTAAAAAAAAAATTATTTATATTAATTTAATAAATAAATGCAAGTAGATGATAATTTAATAAATAGGAAGATTTGGCAAAAAAAATTATTAAAAAAAGGTAAAAATGGAGTTAAAATGTTTAATTTTAATATTTATATAATGAAATATCGAATATTGAAATATGATATTTTTTCATGTTATAATAAATTTAAGATTTTAAAATACATATAAAGACTAAATTTTGGAGATAATATCCTCACCTAATTTTTTACCTATCAATTATGTAATGAATAAATCAACTAGTTCATCTAAGAACTAGATCTAAGACAACTTACTTGATTTTGATTTTCATGGTAATGATTTATACGGCTTTTAATATTGGATATGATATGAAAATCTGACTTAAAATTACGTTAGAATTTTAAATTTCGGTGGTCATTTCGTATAATATTTGAGTTCAGCTCAACACATAAGTGGCGTGAAAAGAAAAATCGTGTTAGGTCGGATTCAGACCAACCTAAAAATAATAGTTTAGCTATTTATTTCCTTTTTCTTATAAAAAATATCATAAAATAGCACATACGTATGTGTGTGTATAATTTTTTTAGTTGCCGTGTTCAAATCAAGTTATAATTTTCATTTCAGAAAATTTTGATACTAATCAGTCGCACTTTAAATATTTTATTGTCATATATCATATTTTTTTAGGACTTTTGAGGCAATTAAGATAAATTTACACGTGTTTCTTTTCCAAGTCAAGTTGGTTGTTCTTCCTCTTCAGATGTTAAAGGGTCTCAACTAAGGTTTAAAGGAGCACTTAACAAAAATAAATTTACACGCATATCTCTTACGAAAGTTTCGAATCAAATATATCTTAGCTGATAGCCACAACTCCTAACCAGTAGATCGATGTGAATTTCATATATCAGGTCAAATTCGAGTTGGCATTTTCTGTAAGAAAATGACTTATATAAGGACTCAGGCTAAACTTGTATTTACTTTTTATGCCCTTTCTCGGCATTATATATACAGGCACCTGTAATAGGAACTACACAGATAATAAAGATACATTTTACTTTCTCATCTCTTTTCTCTCTCTCCAAGAAGTGCTCTCATGATATCAGAGCCACATATGGGAGATCAAGATTCTTCTTCTTCCCTCCCTCCCTCTTCCACGGCTATCACCGGAGTTTCCACCGAACCTCAAATTCCGGCAACTCTCAAGTTTATCATCTCCAACCTCAAGAACATCATTCCGCATCACTTGACTCCGGAAAACTATCCAATATGGAGAATGCAACTATTCCAACATCTGTCTGCGAATGGTTATGCGGATCACCTGACGGGCAAATCAACACCACCGTCCGACCTTGACTCCCCTGAGTATGCTCGGTGGAGCCTCGTCGACAACAATCTCATTTCCGCGCTGTTTTCAACTATATCCCCGGCCATCCTACCTTACGTGATCCATTCCACCACCGCGCAAGACGTTTGGAACACTCTCGAGCGTCGTCTGCAATCTCAAAGCCGATCGCGTGTGATTCAACTCAAGAATGAGTTGCACAATATTCAGATGAACAACCTCACGGTGCAACAATATCTTTCACAAATCAAGAATCTCGTGGACAACATAGCTGCCTCCGGTGCCACAATCGATTCTGAAGACATCGTGTTATACATTCTCAAGGGATTACCTCCCGCGTACAACTCATTCAAGACTTACATCCGGGCATCCCCTCTTCCCGCTGATCTCGACAACCTCTACTCTCTACTATGCAGCGAGGAGATCCACATAAATCAAGATCAGCATACAAAACAAGCACGTTCATCCTCGGCTTCCGCACTCTATGCAAACTCTCAATCATCAAATCAAAATCGATATCAAAAGAAGTTCATCAAGAACAAGAACTCAACCTATCGTCAGCCTGATTCGCAAGATCCCGCTAATTCTGCGTCCAACACTTCCTCCTCGCGTCCTGTGTGTCAAATTTGCAGCAAAGCCGGTCATATCGCAATAAATTGTTGGCATAGGCTAAATCTCAAGTATGCTCCTACCACCACTTCTAACGGCCCCCGTGCCTTGCTAGCTCAGCCGAACGGGCCATCCATGCAACCGTGGATACTAGACTTCGGAGCAACCACTCATCTTACCTCAGATAGCAAGAACCTTCTCAATTCGTTCCCATACAACGGTCAAGACTCTATAACCGTTGCCAATGGCTCTTCCATTCCCATTCATAGCTCCGGTCAAGGGTTACTCCCATTATCGGACAATCACCGTAAGCTACACCTCTGCACGTTATTACACGTCCCCTCTCTCACATATAACTTACCTCTGTTTCTAAACTAACAACAGAAAATTCAATCTCTATTACATTTGATTCTAATGGATTTGTTATTAAGGACATACAGGACAATCATCCACTGCTTCATGGCCATCTCCGTAACGGTCTCTATCAACTGCAAGTGGAACCGGGTGACAACAAGCAAGCCTACCACACCAACGTGACAAACTCGTTCACTTGGCATTCCCGCTTGGGCCATCCCAACAATCAGTTACTACAACATCTAGCGCACAAACTTCCTGAGCTCAAGAATCTCTCTTTTACCTTTAATTGCAATTCTTGTAATATGGCCAAGAGCCACAAACAATCTTTTAATAAACGAATTACTGCAACCACTCATCCGTTTCAAATTATACACTCGGATGTATGGGGGCCGGCCCCCATACCGTCTTTACATGGTATTCGCTATTATGTGGTGTTTATTGACGATTACACAAGGTTCTCTTGGTTATTTTTTATGAACTCCAAGAATGAAACTCTAACAAAATTTAAATCGCTTTGCAGCTTAATTCAGACTCAATTCCACACCACTCCGCAAAATCTTCGCTCAGATGGTGGCGGCGAGTTTACTAGTACAGAGTTTCAAAATTTTCTCAACGACCATGGCATTGTACAATAGCTAAGCTGTTCGCACACCCCAGAACAAAATGGCGTCTCCGAAAGGAAGCACCGTCATCTTCTTGATCTAACCTGTGCCCTCATTCACGAGTCCAACGTCCCTGATCATTTCTGGGCCGACGCCATTGCTACCGCAACCTATCTGATAAACCGCCTTCCTTCCAAATCTCTTGCCCTTAAATCCCCTTATCATATGCTGTATAACAAAGAACCAAGTTACTCACACCTTAGATCCTTCGGTTGCCTTTGTTACCCTTGACTCACACCTTACGCCTCCACCAAGCTCAAACCTCGATCTCAACCTTGTATCTTCATTGGGTATTCCAGCAAACACAAAGGATACAAATGCTATAACACAGACCTTAACAGGACTTTTATTTCACGGCATGTGGTCTTTTGTGAAAATAACTTTCCCTACCAAAATACCACCGCATCTATTCCCACTGATCCTCCTCAACCTCCCCACTCACAGCACCCAAAACTCCTCATCCCTACTTCTATTCTTCCCACCATCACCAGCAAACCAATACCTTCTTCTCCCACTCTTAACAACTTGGCTCCTCCGGAACTTCACCTACCCAGCAACTACCCCACAACCATTAACCCCGTCCCACCTCCTGCTGATTCTAATCATAACATTCCAGCACAAACCCAGCCAACCCACTCCATCCAAACCAGATCCAAATCAGGATTTTTCAAACCAAAGAAAATTTTCACTATGCTCAGTCATACCGAGCCGCACTATACCCCTTCTACGTATAAACAAGCTGTTCAACACGCTCACTGGAGAGCGGCCATGCAAACAGAGTTTGACGCTTTGCAAAAACAAAATACCTGGTCTCTCATACCTCCACCGCCCAACAAACATATCATTGGGTGCAAATGGACCTGCAAATTAAAACTTCACCCTTCCGGTGAGATTGATCGTCACAAAGCTCGCTTGGTAGCCCTCGGCTACAATCAGGTTTATGGTGAGAATTACACAGCCCGCAAATTAATCATTCGGAGTTCGAATGGTTAATTTGGAGCGAAGATAGTTAAAACGAGTATAAGAAAATGGTTTGGTTAAAATATTTGCTATTTGATCTTGAGAGGAGATGTGCTGAATTTGGATAGCTCCGGCTTTGATATGTTGATGGATGAAATGATAGTCTATTTCGATATGCTTCGTTCGGGCATGAAATACGGGATTTTTGGCAATGGCGATAGAGGATAGGTTATCGCAGTGTATGACAGTCGGTGTTGATTGATCAAGCTGAAGTTCGGCGACGAGTCGACGTAGCCAAAGAACCTCCGATGTTGCGGCGGACAAAGCCCTGTATTCTCATTTTCGACTCATTTAATAAACGGATCGACTCATATCATATCATTTTTAGATTGAACCCTAATCCAACATGTGAATATGAATTAACACCTCTAAAAAATTTATAGATATATCAGTAAAATAAACAAATAATTAGCAAAAAAAAAATCAAGTAGCATATAAATACATATATAGAGGTGTCAAAAAATTATATTAAATAAAAATTAATTAATCATACATTAAGGTTTGGTTTGGGACAGCTTTCTTAGTATTTTCTAAAATAATTTTTTAGTAAAAAAAATT